AAATACCCTACTCACAAAGTGAGTGCTGTGCTTCATCACTGCACCACGCAACACAGAAAGCTAATTTTAGCAATTTGGGACGCCTTTTTTTCCCTCTTTAGTTCACATTTTAAACAGATATTAAATAAGTGACTACTACTGATAATAACAATATTAATGAAGAATAACCATCCATGCATCATGTAAAGTTTTTAAAATATGAATAAACAAAATAAAAATTGTTTTTTTTATATATCTCTTTAAAAAATGCAGAACTAGAGGTACATGCTTGAAAGTGGATTGTTCAAACAATGCTGAAGGAAATTGGGCAATAAAGCAAAATGTGAAAACATGCACAGCATCAGAGTCCTTGAGCAATACATCTACACCAGCACTGAGCAGCAGAAAATGTGGTTTTGCTGAGAAACCTGCATGCATGGATGTGTGATGTGTGCAATGTTTGCTGCAGGAATACAGACCGAGCAAAAGCATCTTGGGCGCATTTCCTACCCCAGAAACCATTTGCAGTGCTTTTTGATATACTATGTTTAACATGTTCCTGAAGCCTCATCGATCTCTAGTGAGTTAAAACATTCAGTCGACACACTGTTGGTTTTTGGTTTGCCACTGAATCACATAAAAAGCCTGACTGTAACTGTAACTCTTAACTGTGTAGCTGTGGTGTGCAATATCTCGTATAACTTTCAGCTGAATTTTGCTCATCTTCACCGTGAACGAAGGAGCACTTTAACGTGTTTGGACTCTGCAGTGGTGGAAATGGGTCCACATTCTGCCCGAGTAATATCTGGTGCATAGGATCTCTGTTACAAATCTAAATAAATAATTTAGCTTTGGTAATGCATCGCCTCATTAAAATGAGACACATTCTACGGTCTTACACAGTATTGCTTTTTGCCTTTGGGCAAACTGCACCGTCCTAATTAAACTGATGCCTTGTGTACAGACTCACAGCATTCTGTTTAATCAGAATGCTGTGAGTCTGTACACAACAGACACTTCACTTGTCAGCTGTGAAGGCGTGGGAGAAGCTGTGTATAAAAGAAACCTACCTTTTAGTAAGCTCAGTTTTGGGGGATTTTCTTTGTTTGTTTTTGGTTGCTGTGATCAGTTATTTAAAGCACTATTCACTGATTTACAAAACAAAGTTGGAAACATTTTTATCATCCAGCTCCTGCCCCCTTGGCTGAAGTCCTACTGACTCTAATTTTGGATATGTTTCTCTCTCCGGCAGCATCTCAGGCAGGGGTGGGCGGTTAGTTTTCCCAAGGTGCCACATGAGAAACTGCAACTGCTAGGGAACCAACAAGCTGAACAGTTCTGCGCTATATTAATTACATCTCTTTATAAGCTTATTGGTGTGCCCAGTGTAGTTTAATTCCTGGAATGATCTTTGTCACATTGTGCCAGACAGCATACAGTTTATTTTTCAGCACTTTATTTTTTCAAAACTTTAAAATTACATCTGGAAAGTACTGAGATTCTGTTAAACGTCTGTTAGAGCAATAACAGAAAAGATGGGGAAGTCCCACAAAAGCTGCTAATCAAAATGCAATCTGATATGAAAATCAACCTTTTTTACTCCCTCTAAAGTCAAACCAGTAAAGCTTAATTCAATATAAAAGCAACATAAGAAGCATCACAAGCACTAACACTAACCATCTTTATTTATAAATAATGTAAAACCTGATCTAACTCTAAGGAAAACTCTTGGCTTACATTACTGTGAAATCTAACGATGTTTGTATCTTCATTCAAGACTTACCTTGCTGAGTGGAGCTGCAATTTTCTGCCATGGCAGTGAAGTTTAACCAAGGACAATCCAAACTATACTCTGAAAACAAACGTCTACTAAATCTTTTACACCTGTACTCTGTCTTTGACAAGCAGTTCTACAGAACTCGCTGCATGTTTGTGCTCACGCAGTATGATGTGACACCAGCGTGTTTGCTTTTTTTTCTTAAAGGACTGTTACAGGATGTGTGCTTTTGCAGAAAACCACAAACTTTTTTTAGACTACAAGACAGATCAGGTACCAAGGCTGAAGACCTGCCCTTTCAGTGTTAAGGAATACGACATGAACACGTTTGATTTAAGGGGATATATCCTTTTTACTTTAAATATCCTGAAAAAGACATTTAATTATCTTTGAGGCACTAAATATAATCCTTTAATTATTTCACACAACATCTGGATACTATGTGACAACATATTAAGAATGAGAGCAAATTCTCTCCGTGGAGATAAAAACATTTCTAGTGGGGACAAATATTTGTAACTACTACAGCAAAAACTCCAGTGGTTATGATTTTTACACATGTATGCATACAGATAAAAGAATCCATGAAAAGCAGTGATTTGTATATGAAAAATAAATAATAATAAAATGAGATTAAAAAAATAAAAATGCTAACTACGACCTTTAAGAAAGAAAAGTGTTTAATAAGTGCAAACGACTAGGAAATTTAGACATATGAGGTAACAGATGTCAGTGATGGAACTTGGAAGCATCCTGTCAAAGTAATGGATCAAGTCATAAACCAAAATAAATGGTATCTTTGTTGTAATCCTGCAGATGTCTTTATATATCTTTAAAGTCAGTCGTGAGCTGCTGGGTCAAAAATATGCCAGTGGCCATGACAGAAAGTGAGGTTAACCAATTATTCTGGTAACAGTCTGACACATTCAGCACATGGTGGTGTTCACTGATTTAACTTTTTCATGCTGACCTCTTTACTTGGCAACACACACCTTAAATTAGTGGTTCATATTTCATAGCTGCAACATCAGACAACAGGAATTAGAGCAGCAAGAAGGTGTTAATGGATGTGTTTACAAACCAGAGGCCCAGTTTTTTAAGTCACATCCTAGTTTTGGTCACTTTGGGGGTAAAATATGAGTTTTTAGCTCTCTTAGCATCTTATTCTCATATCATCCAGATAAATCTGTTGGTATTTGGCTTTCGGTTTGTTCAAATCACTGTCAGACGTAAGACGAATATTTGCATACATTCTGGGAATTAATTTCACCCGGTTCAGCAATCATTCTTCAGGATTCATTTATAGTGCTGAACTGCAGCTCCTAAATCTTCTGCATACAAACGTGCAGGAGCTGGCAGCCTGCTGATCAGCCCCATCTGTGTCAGCAGGCTGAACACTAGTTCAGGATGAGAGGAGCAAATGATAAGACTCTCACGGTCCATTTACTGAAGGAAGCGTGGGTTGAACACGCAGACAGCAGTGCAGTCATTTATTTGCCTTCTTCTGTGTATAAAGTGTCACATTTTGAATATTAAATTAAACCAGATGTGGGAAGGATTGTTCCAATCATCCTTTTGGGCATCTGAGTTATTTTCGGTTTAAACATTGATTCAAAAGTTACTGGTGCTGACATCTGACATGGATGAAAATTCAGTAAAGAGTGGCTCAAGACATTTAGGCTGTCTTAGCTATCCCACCCAACACTGGGTGAGTTATTCTTCTGCAAGGAGTGTGGGCTATAGGTTAAAGCATGTCCACCTTTATACCACTGCACTCAAGCAGATATTTAAAGTCATGGATCTGCTCAACCAGGCAAATCCAAAATGTGAGATCTTTTCATAATTTGTTAAAAGGAATGGCGCAGAGAGAGCTGTTACACTGTTAATTAAATGGACTAACTGAAGCGCTGCTCATCACACTGTATGTATAATATCCTAGCTGTGTTACTCCATCCCGCTGCTTATATTCTCCACCTATAGGATCATTCTAATGCTACAGTGTATTTATTAATAGGAACAAATAAGACGAAGGAAACTAAAACTGACAGTTGTGGGAATGCTTGTGTTATAGTTAGGTACACCGGTCAAAAACACATAAAGCCACATTAACCACAGTGCGTCAGAAACTTTCCGTTGTAAACAACTGCAGAGGTTTTCACTTGTATTAAGAGAGTTTTTGAGATACCACCATGCTATCTGCTATGCAGACATTAATTTATTTATTTTTTTTATCTTCTGGTTTGTCTACCTTTGGCTACCCTCTTGTCACTCAGTGTGGTTTATCAAAGTCAGTCCCAGTGTTAGAAATTGATGTAGAAATCTATGTACATGTCTTGTGCAACACCGCTTCCAAAAAAGTTAGGACCCTGCGAAAAATGTAAGTAACAACAGAATGCCAACATCTGCAGATCTCATGAACCTATATTACGACAAAACAGAAAACATCAAATGTTTAAACTGATACAATTTCATGAAAAATATTTTCATTTTGAATTTGATGGCAGCAACACATCCCACAAAAGTTAGGACAGGAGCAAGAAAAGGGCGGAAACGTAAATGTTGGGACTAAAGATGGGCAGAGGTTCAACAGTTTGCAGAGAACTGTGTCTACAAAATGTGGAACAGTTTCAAAATAAAGTGCATAAAATGTTCATCATAAAATGAGAAGACTGAATACCTCCTAATCTACAGTCCACAACATCATCAAAAGATTCACATAATCTGGAGACCTCGCAAAGAACAAGGCTGAAAATCAGTAATGCATATTTCAACAAGACAATTTACATTTACATTTATTTACATTTTACACAGGGTCACAACTGTTGTGCAGCCTCATGTGCAACACAGACATGTCACGGTGTAGCCTGTCATATACTGTCATATACATTAAGCTTTTGGATTATATTTAGCCTTAATGCGAATCAAGGGATTTTAATGCCTCACCCACCTCCATTCGTGTGCCCCTGGCCCTTCATAAAAACATGGTGATTCAACTTAATGTTCCTGTTATTAACGTTTTAGATGCTGGTGCAAAATAAAAAGCCCTGAAAACAAACAGCTGTTATACACAGTCTACTTCACATCCACATCCAGCCCAACGACGGTGTTAAAGATGGACGACGTGGCTCCACTTCATCCACGCTACAAAGTTTGTTTGTTTGTTTTTCCTCTAGGTGGCGGTAATGCACCACTAAGCTCTACGCATGCGCCATGAAACATGGCGAAGAAGAAGAACTCCTCTTACCCCGCCCCCTCCTCAGTTCCCGTCCTCTACTCCTCAAACTGCTGATGTGGTACTAACTTCAGCCTCCACCTCTGCAAACATGTTCAACTTCACATCAAAACTTTTGCTGCTTTTTCTCCTGGCCTTCCCCTGCGGTCTGATATCAGTTGGTAAGCATTTATTTATGTATTTATTTCACTTGAAAGCAGGCAGATACATTTGTAGCCTCACTCCGCTGCTGGTCAGAAGTTTTTCGCCTAACATATTGACGTGGCACAGTCACGGGGCGATCCGACAGCTTTCTCCACAGCTGGGTCAGCTGCTAACGTGAATATAAGGCAGGTTTTATTCTTAAACATCTAGAGATATACAATAGTCTGTCGCTTTTGTTGTGAATTAAAGAAAAAGCTGTCTTTTTCTTCGTAAGAAGAAATATATACACGTCACGCAAAGTTTAGTTTCCCTTTGGAGCCACAGAGCAGCTTTTTAATACGAATGTATGAAGTGGCCGAGGATGTAAGAGCAGCTGGAGGCTCCCTCTCTTTTCTGGGACACGTCACCATAGATAAGATGTTCGTACTGTTTGGCTCTGCTGGTTTCTGCTCTGCTGACACACATTCAAGTGTCTTTGCTCCTGTTTCATTGAAATTGGAGGCAAGGTTGCCAGATTTATGACAACCGCTTTTTATTTGATTTTTCCTTGCTTAAGTGTATATTAGATTTTCGCCCACATTTCCATTGCTTTTCTTCTTTAAATAACCATCTATCACTTCATCACGTGACTTGATACAGACATAATCTGACATAAATTGCTATGAAATAAATAAATACTGGCCAAATGCAGCACTTTCTTGTCTGTTTTACACACTGAATTAACAAAGATTACAAGCTCAGATTGTCATATGAAAACTGCTAAAACATTTTTCATGTGTGTTAACCAGCATCATTCCCGTAATCCATTCATGTCTTCACTGTGGCTTCTGACTCGCAGGCCACGTTTATGCCGACTCAGACTCGGCCGAGGACATTGTCGAGGACTCAGATGCTGCAGTAGATGAAGAGGAAGATGATGAAGATGTCCTTGTTGAAGAGGATCAGATGCAAACCTCGGTATGTACAGTGATGGCGCAGCACGATTAGGCATACTAGTGGTGGTTTTACAATGTAAAGTTGTGTGTGTCATCAGGAAGGACACGAAGATGACTCCGACGAAGCGGCGGACAAACTGTTAGCTTCTCACCCTGATGCCGACACGACGATCATCTTCACCACGGGAGAAGGTTGGTCTCACTGGTTTTGTTAATAATTGCTAGAAAACTAAAGCAAAAAGCTTAATTAGTTGTTTCATGGTGTAGAAGCCAGTTTTGTGGCCGTGTTAAACACATAGTATCTTCACATTTGTGTTTTTTCTTTTATTCATTATTTACTTCTGGTCATGACACTTTTAGAGTTTCCTGCCAATGAAATTGTGCGGTTCCTGGTGGGTTTCTCCAACAAGGGTAGTCAGGAGTTCACCGTTCAGTCATTGGAGGCCTCCTTTCGTTATCCCCAGGACTTCCAGTTCTTCATCCAAAATGTAAGTGACACAATGTGCCGCATATCCTGCTGTAAAATGTTAATGTAAAAAGTTCATAACTAAAGAGATTTAGCTATGAAATTAAATGTTATTGGCTGCCTTTAAGGCCGCTCATGGTGTACATCTTCCACCTCTAACTACCACATGCACCAGTATATAAAATGTAAGAGGTGAGATGGGGCTGTTCGATATAACGATATATATCGGATGACGATATAAAAACGTCTATCGTTTCATTTTACGCTATGGTTTGTTTCATGGTGTCGCAAAATAAACTGTTTACGGCAATATTTTTTAATCGTTTTGATGGTCACTGTAGTGGGTATATTAATTTCTTAAAGTTCTCTCTTTCTCTTATATTTAATATAACCACACTACTGACAGACAATCGCCTGTTTTTATGCGTTGTCGTTAGCAACAGCAACGGTAAAACCATCGCATGTCCGCTTGTTTATGTTCCACATAAACCTTTCATAATAAAGCTCAAGATCCTGTTGAGACTTTTCAAAATAAACTGAATCACGTATTAACGGATGAGGAGCAAAAAGAGCCGCCAGGTGCTAAAAAATAAACCTTAGACTCAAACGTTAGAACAGGCTTTTCCCCGCAGCACGCCGTGTAATAAATGCTCACAAAGAAAACAGCGGCCGTTACAACTTATGTCTAAAAATGTATAGTTTCAATTAAAACACTCAACTCCAGGTACATGACACGCAGCTGGAAACATTTCACGCAAGTCGAGCTGCCTGAGATTCACAGAATTTACAGAAAATGTTAAATTTTTGTGATTTATATCGTTATCAGACGATAGATGTCTTATATCGGGATATGAGATTTTGGTCATATCGCACAGCCCTAAGGTGAGAGCATTTGCACTGAGCACCTCATAACTCTGGAACAACCTGGTTGACATGGTTGGTCACTTTTTTTTAAGTCATGCCTTTAAACCTTTAAACATACTTTTATGGCAAGACTTTCCCTGAGTTTATATCAGGGTTTAGGTTTCTTTGAATTCTCTTTTTATTTCCTATGTTCATTACTTCTGTTTTATTCTCTTGAATGTTGAGAAATGCTGAAAAAATACATATAAACACTCTCTATTCCTTTCATGTCTTAATGAAAAATAAAGTAAAAAAAATGTTAAGGGTGGGATTGTACATCCATCCTTTCTTCCATTTATCCAGTTCAGGATCGTGGCAGGGGCAGGAGTCTATCCCAGCTACCACAGGGCGACAGACTGGTGACCTCTTGGGCCGGTCGCCAGTCTGTTGCAGGGCTAAAACACGCAGACAGCCATTCACACTCACATTCACACCTATGGGCAATTTATAATCCCCAGTTAACCGAACCCCACTAACTCCCACATGTCTTTGGACTGTGGGTGGAGGCCAGAGTACTCTGAGAAAACCCACACAGACTCAGGGAAGAACATGAACTCCACACTGAATTGTGTAACAGAACAACTTAAATATCTGAATGATGCAGAAACATTAAAGTAAAATGATGTTTATTATATTTGTGCACATGCTCTCTTCATTTGTGAATTTCCCATTTCTGGGACTAGCAAAGGCTACTTTGTTTAGCTTTAATGAAACCTCAGAAATGGCAGCACGGTGTTAGAGATCAGCACTGTTGCTTCAAAGCAAGAGGGTTCCAGGTTCCCGGAGCGTTTCGTGTGGTGTTTGCACATTCTCCCCGGATTCTCTCCGGGTACCCCAGCTTTGTCTAAAGACGCTGATGTTAGGTTAACTGAGGAAACCAAACTAGCTCATGTCATACTTTCAGAAAATGATTTCTTAGTGTTTTGTGTGTTTATAGTTCACAGCTTTGCCCCTGAACACTGTCGTCAAACCACAAGCTCAGGCCTCCTTCGAGTACTCCTTCATCCCAGCACAGCCAATGGCCGGTCGCCCATTTGGACTTGTAATCCTGCTCAACTATCAAGACACTGAGGTAAAATAAGTGTTATTGTTTTAAAAGTTTATTTATTTATTGTTTTTACTGAGAGAAGGTGGGAGGGGGTAGAATGTGAAGATATCAGGCAGTAACTGTCAGGAATATTTTTCACAGCACACCTAATGATTATTCATGATTCATGAATATTAAAAGCCTTGAAGAAATCTTCATCAGCACTACATTTTGTTAGCAACTATTTTTTTTTCTCTCTCTCTCCCATAATTTGGATGTCCAGGAGGGTCCTTACTGTCATCATTTCCCCCTGCTGAGCTTTGACTGCTTTTTTCTGCACTATTAACAAATACTGAGTCATTTTAATGACACGTTTTAAAGAGAAGCTCCTAAATTTTGTTTTCCCTGTTTGTCTTTTGACTTCTCTTTTGTAAAAAATAAATTTAGGGCAGCGTGTTCCAGACTGCCGTTTACAACCAGACTGTCACCATCACTGAACGAGAAGAGGGACTGGATGGAGAAACGTAAGCTTTTCTGCTTTTTATTATGTAAAGGCAAAATTGAAAACGCAAATGAAGTGTTTTGTGTCTTTTTAATTCCACTGGAGAAAAAGAAAAATGGAAATGTCCAAAATTGTATTTGTCACGTCGTTTTGGCACATCCGGCTCTCTGCAGCTCTCCCAGAAGATTGCACTACATGTACAAACCTGCAAAAGGAGGTGTGAAATTGTCACAAAGAGACTCGCAGCCAGGATTGTGCTGCTGGTGTAAGACGTGCAAACTGTTGGCAGAAATATTAGTCGAGCTGAAGACGGCGTATTCCTTCTGGGAAAAAAAATCGAACATAAAATTTGCAATCGAGGTTGATAAATGGAGAAATCTGGCTTCTTCTTCTTTTTTGTGCTCTTGTGTATTTGTAACTTGGAGTTTTTGCTTTTATTTGCAGAATGTTTATGTACGTGTTCCTGGCGGGACTGGTATCCCTGCTGCTCTTCGGGATGTACCAGGTCCTGGACTCGAGGACGGTATGTGCTCGTCATCCCTGGCTTTTCTGTTTTTATCTAAGGATATTTTGTCTGCCTATTAGATGAAATGAGGCGCATCTTTGTTAATCAGTGTAAATGTGAAGAAATGTTTCTGGTAAAGTCAGCATGATGGTGTATAAATTGGATTTAACATGACATAATGTGGTCTTTCTACCTTTGTGTGTGTTCTGCAGAAAAAGAGGCTTTCTGTGAAAATAGAAAAGGGCACTGCTGGAATAAATGATGTGGACATCAGCTGGATTCCTCAGGAGACTCTTAATGCCATGAGTAAGTTCATTTTGCCCAGCTGTTATGATTACACTGCTCCACTCACCCTCTGCTTTGTTTTGTTTTCTTACTGTGATTTTGATTTCTGAGTATTTGATCTTTACTTCCTGTGTTTCAGACAAGGCTTCCCCTAAAGCATCCCCCCGGAAACGAACCAAGAGGGCGGCTGGGACAGACCAATAAACGTGCTGGCTTCCCTTTGTCGTTATAATCTTGATCAAACTTTCAGAACACCTCGCAACAATAACTCAGTTCAAATTTACAAAGAATGCAAATGTCTGGAATTCAGTTTTTGAAGCAGATTTTTTTTTATGTTTGAGAATCGGAGCTCGATACAGTCTCAAGGTATTACATGCTGAGAGGATCCTGTGCTCTCATTGGACCATGACCATTTAAACACTAAGAAGACTGAACTGTGGCTCATTTTAAAGGGACTTTTGTATCTGTGTGTGTGTGTGTGTGTGTGTGTGTGTGTGTGTGTGTGTGTGTGTGTGTGTGTGTGTGTGTGTGTGTGTGTGTGTGTGTGTGTGTGTGTGTGTGTGTGTGTGTGTGTGTGAGAGAGAGAAAGAAAGAGATGTAATGGGAAAAATAAGATAATCGGTAATTAAGATTACAAGGGCTGGCTTGAACTGCCTTCTTGAAGAGGGTTGAATTTGAGTTTATTGCCACTCCTTTTTTTTTATTTATTTTTTTTTTATTTTATTTCCGATAATAACAATGAAAATATCACAGTCTTCTCTATCATCAAACCCTTCTCTGCCTTATCTGGTCTCTTGCAAAAAATGCCGTTTTTTTTTTTTGTTTTTTTTTTAATTACCACACATGATTCACACATAACGTCCATTAATGATTTTATGTTTTTTAAAGTGGTACAGTGGCAGCTGCAAGTGCAAATGTCGAAACCATGTGTCTCAGTGTCTGTGCAAGTCAATTTTGCCGCCTTACTCCTGAGCAGAGCATTCAGTCAGTGTTAGTGATGCGGTCTGTCACGCTGTATGTCAGTATTTGTGATGCAACGCCTTCTGAAAAACAATAAAAGGCTGTATTTACTCAGATTATCTTTGTGTAATATTAAAAATTTGTTTGATTGTGAAAGTGTGCAGAAAGAAAGAAAAAATCAGGGAAAAGACAAATGCTACATGTTTCCACAGCATTCCACAACCTTTCCACATTTTCCCTGTGGAACAAAGTAAATATTTATTTTCCCAACCTCAGATATGTGATTGAGGGAATATGTGTATATATGTGTAAAAGCTGAGATCCTGTGATGACATCCTGTGTGAGGTGTCTAACAAAAGCATAAAAGCACCGGGTGATGAAGCAGGGCCGTGGTTCCTGCTCGGGGAGGTGAGAACTGTCCGGTGCTGAAGGGGGGAAGATGAGCTCAGCGCGCGCCGGGGGGCAGGTAACGTCAGCAGTCGGCCGGAGCAAGGAAAGACTGTGAATACACACCTACCAAGTGTTTATCGGCGCTCAATCACTGATACACATCGACTCACATTAATGATGGGCAGCTAATCACCTCCGTGTGACTCAGAGACGCTTTTTATCTTTTTTATTTCGGCGCCTCAGCAGCATCCCGCGCCCTCCGCTCGGCTTGAAATGGGATGATATGGGATTTTTCATGTCGACGAAGATCGGATGGATTGTTGCCTTTGCCACCGGTACGGTATCTCAATCTCAGTCGCTTTATGGTGGGAGCCAGTTGGGATGGTTTGGAACAGAAAGCTGTCTTTTTTTTCTCTTCTTTTAATCTTCCTGCAGCAGAATGTAGGTGCTGTGACCGTAAGCTTATTTATCTCCATCAGTGTTGCATGATGGTTATCAGACCTGTACCAGTGCCAACTGCTTGTAGCGGCGGTAGATAGCCTACTGGGTGTTGTATCTATACTTAGTGTGCAAGCTTTCTTACATGAAACGCTTACCTAAAGGCAAAAACTCACGGAATGGTTTCTTCTTCTTTTTTCACTCAACTGTCACTTTTACTAAAATACAGAAATATGCACTTTATAATCAGTACAGTTTATTATTGACAAAGCGAGCTTTGGGCTGCGGTGGTCAGGAATGTTTTCCTTCCACCACATTACATCTGTCTAGAGCAGTTGCTCCAAAACTGTGGGGCTGGACGACCAGGAAGAGCATGAGCCGAATGAATGTGATCTTTTGGTAGGCAAAATAAACAAAAGTTTTCTGATGCTGACCTTTATTTAACTTGGATCCCTTTTTTTTTTTTCACTCTTAATTATTGATAAGAAATATGGAGTGTGGGGTGGGGTTTTCCAGCTTCTGAAGTGAAAGTTTGACAACCTGTCACATAGTTTTTCTGATCAAATTAAATTATCAAATTAAATAAGAGTGATAGTATTTATTATTATAAATGTAATAGAGAGGTCTTTGCTTAAAGGTTGTATATTCGTAAGTGAAGTCTGAAAGTAGTCTGAAATCTTAAGCCAGACACTTAGCAAGAAAGAAATTTGATTTATGTGCACTTACAGTGGATGCTGATTTGTCTCTCATGGTTATTTGTAGCTTGTCAGTGTACAAAGCATCACAAAAGCGGTAAAGAAAGCTGTCTCCTGTATCTGTTTTTTCAGTAGTTCTGTCCTTAGCGGTGCCAGGAGACTCTGTCGATGTGAAGTGTGAGAACATTTATAAGGACTTCTCCGAATGTGTCCTGGAGCTGGGAGAGAGCATGGACAACTACCAGGAGAACGTGACCAGTGAGAGGGGAGTGGCAGCTGTGTGCAGGTGATAATTACTTTACCGGCGAGTGCACGAGCAGCAGCGAGACATTCCTTGTAGAGTTTTGTGAGCTTGAGCTCTCATCACTCTTTGTGAGTAGAGCTTTCATATGCACTAAGATACAAATGATAACCTCAGCAGAGAGAACAAGAAATGCAGAGAGAAACCAGCTTTCATGGGTCGATTAAGAAACCCATTGGTGCACAAAATTGTCTTTCAGTTCAATTAGGATCAAATAAGGCGTAATTGAGAGCAATAATATAGACATATACAGGATGAAATATTCATCTCATAACAAAATACTGGAGAGAAAGGGAGCAGATGCCACAATCCCAGAGAAGAGGAGACTAGAGAAATGAATGGTGCTGAGACACTGAGCCATTGTGCTAAATAATGTATGACCTCGCTGCAGCAGTAATGAAATTCGGGGGAAGTTCTTTGTCACTGTTACTGCATGCACTCCACAACCCCAACACAGTGCACTGAAGACAAAGATTTACACTCAATCCTTTGGTTGAAAATTGCCCACTTGCAATATCATCTGTGATATTGTTTCACTCTCTCATACAGTTGCCATGGTAATTAAAGCACAGCTTGACTTACTTGCATCCTTCGTAGCCGTGTGAGTGATAGATTTTTGGCAAGCAAATTAATCGGGCACAGCCAGTGCATGTCTGCATGCTGTTGTGGGAATGACTTCCGAGTGAAATGTCAGACACAGTGCTGAACTGATGATCCTTTTATTTGCCACAGCCACTGGGAAGCTTTCCACACTTGTGCGCTCACGGCGCTGTCCGACTGTCAGGAGGAAGTCAGCTCCATCTGGGAGACTCTGAGGCAGGACTCCAGGAAGATACGCTTCCAGGGAAGTCTGTTTGATCTGTGCAGTCCCAGCTCCTCTCCCAGTCTAAGTTCACCTAGCGCTGTCCTCATCTTGCCGCTGATGCTGGCCTTGACTGGGCCCGGCTGGGCTTCTGCATAGATGGAGCAGGGGTTGGGTGAGGAGGACGCCGTATTCGCCGTGCTTCGGTCCTCCAGAGTTTAAACTTAAAGCCAAGGATTTAAGAGCACAAATGTTTCAAAGGATTATTTTGACCTAGAGTCGCTGATGTCTGTGATGAATGAGGTTTGAAATTCTCTCAAATACTCCAGCTTTGGGTGGAGTGGCAGAAAGAATTGCATTATAAACAGATTAAAAGCACACACTCTCGTGGATTCCACATTCAATTTGGTCAGCTCATTCTACTATCAGACACCTGTGGCTCTGGGTTACTAACACTGTACAAGGAGCAGGCACATTGCCGCATATATCTGTACAATGTCGTGCAGTAAAACACAGCTTGCAATAGTTTACCTGTGTGAAAATATAACGTCTAATTTTTGTAGTTTTTAAGCCCAAATAACTTTTTATTCATCGCTCACATTTTTGTATATAAGATAGTTATTGCATCCATGGTGTGTTTTGTGTAAAGTCTGATTTCACCATGCTCCTTAAAGAAAAAGTTTGATTTTACAATAAGTAAATTAGAAAACTGACCCCACTTTAAGATCTCACCAGTAAATATGAAAGGCATAGCAACCAGTTTTAGCTTAGCTTGTCATTAAATATATATATTTTTCACTTTTGTGTAATTTGAAGAAATGATTTATAAAATGTTTGTGAATGATCTGTGCTGGCAGTTCTGCCCCACCCTCTTATTTCCAGTTTTTAAGCTAACCAGCTGCTGCTTGTAGTACAGACGATGGGGCTGTCAGACTACTACAATGCCAGTCTGCCTCTTTAATTATGAGCTACAGCATAAACCTTTTGACCTCCACTGAGTTTGTATAAACACAGCTTTGCTCTGTGAAAACACTAAAGAGACACGTCATGAAGAATAACATCTTACCGCTTTTAAGTTCCTTACAAACTTGGTACGAAAACCAAGGAAATTATTGTTTGGTTGGTTGTCCTCTGTTGTAACAATGCTTCATGTTAAATATTATACTACTGGAAAGCCTGTTCATTTCTCCTTACATGCTGCCACATTTGTAAGGAAAACACATTTTTGGGTTGAGCAGCAGAGTTGAGTATGTGGGTTGCACCCATGAAAACCTTGCCAAATCTTCAGCTTATTCTGCTACTGACTCTTGTTTGGTGCTTATTGGATTGGACGATCGAAGTCTGAAGAAACAAAGTATATTGGCAATTTAACAATGACAAACCAGATTTGACAAGTTTTTCAGGGGTGCAGTTCTCATACTCAGATTTATTGCCGAGACGTATTGTTACAACATAGAAATTATCGACCAAACGCAAATTTCTGTACTTTTTGTTTATTTAAGGTTGTTACCGATCAAACAAAGAGCCAAATCAGACTCGACATGACTAAACAACATTTGTATGCACTATAGAGGTGAATTCACTCTTTAACTTGTTTTGAAGTGTAGAAAATGTTGTAGTAAGGTGACAATCAAGCAGTTCGTACACAACTTTGGATTCCCTTTTTCCTTATAAGCTTTCAGCCCATCAGGGCTGATGTTGCATAGCTGCTATAAAGACACCAAAAAATAGGGGATGTATATTGCACATGATCCATGTTAAACCTTTAGTTAAACCACGGCTCCTTTTAATTTTCCAACCCACTGATCGTTGTGTAAAAACAAAATTTTTGTTTTTGTGACTTTCTGTGAGAAAATGCTCACTTGCTATTAACATCCTATTACTAACCTTGTGCATTAAAGTAGTCTGCATACTCCAGTAGATGACAGAATACACGTGGGTGGCTTTTCAAAGACAAATCTGCCATAAAGTTCTACTGATTACATCATTGATATGTGTTTGATATATCAAACAATGTTCTCCTCTTCTAAAAAATTTTTTATCTGTTAAGTCAAATTGTGAGAATAATAACAAACTTCAGAAACAGAAAGATTAATGTGTAATAACTTGCATCTATTTAGCACAAAAGTCTATGAGATGTCATGAGTAGTAATTGTCTTTTGTGATTAATATTTTGGTGAATGTGTCATGGAAAAAAAACAGTGTTTATTCTTAAAACAGCATCAAGCCCTTTGGCTTGGAGTAAATTCAAATGTTGGAGAAATAGTGTTTCTCTTTTGTTTGTTTTGCCCAAACTGTGTCCATATATACATATTTGCTTTAAAAATGATCTTAACAAAGTTGGATCATTCAGTCGTTTATGTTATCACAAGTGCATGGTGATTTTTGTGACAGTGCTTCAGAAAAATGGACAGATTGTTAATTTTACCTCGGCGATGGCGTACAGTGGTCTTGATCTGTGCATGAAGTTACGCTAGCTCCTCAGTGTGCCTGCATCCTTTGTTATGCAGATGTATTATCCTCACCCCCATACCTACCTAGACTCCATCAGCATGTTTGCTCTGTTTCTATTTCTTTCATCTTTCAAAGTGCAATCCCTTTTCCAAAAAAGGTGGGAAGAGCCAAATAAAACAGAATGTTTGGATTTGGAAATCATGTAAACCCCTATTTAAAATAAATATAACACACCATACTAAATATAATGAGATGGATAGTTACAAATGTCACATCTCAAAAGCACTTGAGATAAGAGCGTGTTCATCACTTCTTGAAACAACACTCCACAAGCATTTCGAAGCTGAGAAAACCAAATGTAGTTCTGAAATCAATTTTTTCCCAATTTATGCTCGTTAACCTGCTCAACAGTTCAGTTGTTCTCTGCAGAAGATGCCACCATACGTTCTTTTAAAGCCTGTTTAACATTAATGATGCCTGGATGGACAAAAGTATTGGGCCACCCACATGTTACACCTACAGGAGCTGCTCGGTTATGGAAAGTCGTGCCACGAAGCTACTAGTGGACAGTTTTTGTGCTGATGTTAATGCAAGAGGAGGCTTTCTGCAGTTACTAAGACAGCAGAGCGTTGGCAGCTTTTACGCACTATGCACCTCAGCGCTCGCCAGCTCTGCTCTGTATCTTTATGTGACCACTCGTTGGCTGAGTTGTTGTGGTTCCTAAACGCTTCCACTTTGCAATAATACCACTGACTCTTGATTTAGACTTCTGCAGGGAATCTTTGTAGAGCCTACAACATAACGTACGTAAGTGGCTGATGTCATTTGTGCTTGTGCTGGTGCATTATGTGTGGTCATGTCTCAGTGTTTTATATGCGGTGCCAGGTGATAGGAATAAATAAACTGCAGGGATTTTTTTCCTCCTCTTATTGAAGTCAGTTTTTTTGAGGGTCCAAACATATTTGTTACTCTGGGGGAGAATAGCTTAAGCAGTTTTCTCCACTACAATAGCTTAAGCAATTTTCCTCCAGGAATTTGCTGACATTTATGAGTCTTCATATAGATATGATTATTTTTCCTTTTAATGAGGTAATGATTGTTATTCTCACATGGATAAATTCAAAAGGAAAAATCAACAGGACTGAACAGGCCAGTCACAATAGCTGACATGTAGTCGAATCACGTTATGGCTCAGGGTTTAAGGGGGATTTGTGGTTGCGACAATTAGAGCATAGATCAAAAAGCATAAACCCAAAGTAACAACTAATGTTGTAACAACGACATCCTACTACAGGGCAGCACTTAAGTTCTCAAGAACTCAGCGAGTTCTTGAGAACAACCCATTCTTTCACAAGCAGACTGCAGGTGTGGCTACGTGCTTGATTTGATACACCTAAATTCAAACATTAAGAGGTGTGGCCTAATACTTTTGTCTTGTATAGTATATCTGCAATTTACCATACCATACATACTAATGCTTCCCATATCATGGTTGCTAGTATGTAGGTGGTAAGATTTAATAGTTTATGCAACTACCAGAGAAGACAACATATCAGGATGTTTCTTTATTTTTGTTTGTTTTAATTTATTCTTATGGATGACAAGACAAACCTGTTCTCTGACAGTGGTCCTGAGTCGCTATACTGATCTTCACAACATAATCATGTCTATTTCTAATGCAGTGCTACGTGAGGGCGCACCTTCAACATTGGCTTTTAGCCGTTTCACTTGCATACAGAGATCTCTTTGGATTTTCTCTGAACCTTTCAGTGATATTATGCACCATCCTTACTTCTGACATAGTTTTCTGGGACGCTTTCTTTACTAAGAGTCATTTTACTCGCCTGTCCAGTAGTTTAACAGCATCATCTTTAAAACGAGAACATATTTAAAAATAACAAAGTTAAAGAATGTTTATTTTGGACTACTTTCATGAATTACGGGGTTTAAATTTTTTGCAAAACAACGCACTCTGTTTTTATTGATATTTTTGCCTAATGCCACAGCTTTTTTAGAAAGAGGTTTGTACTGCTGTTACGTCATCCACTGTGTACCTGGGGGTAACAATACAAAAAAAAAAAAGTTGTGATGTCCTCAAAGCATGAGCAATACAATAGTCACTTCTTAAGAGGGGACTTTTTTCCCTGCTGTTGAACAAAGCATGATGATACCATAGTAATCCTAATAATGACAGCTCAAACATGGAAAGAACTCCTGAATGTAAAACCAAGTTCAGTATCCATGTGAGGGTTTGGTTTTTTCAGTTTAATACACAATTTACAAGACTGTATAAAGCAATATATGGAAAAGTAATGTGTTTATAATAATAAAGCACAATGTTTAAAACCTAAGTGTGTGCTCACTGGCTTCAGGAGAGTAACAGCACTAAGATGGAAACCGGTGGTACATTTACTGATTGCAGCCGATCCTTTTTAACCCATCTATTACAGTTTCTGTTTTTAGTCATCCCCGGAGCAAAGTGGGGGTAAGGACGACTGCAACCAGCGTTTTTCAACTCGTTAGTGCTCTCCCATCTGCTGCTTTCCACCTGGACACTTCCTGCAGCGAGGGATCAAGGCCCAGGGCAGAAAAGGTTTGGAGAAGTAAAGACATGCATGTGGAAATACCCTCATTAGAGAAGCCATGTTTGATGTCTGAAGCATGATGGCCAATGTTTGTTTTTGCTTTTTTGTTTTTCCACCTGCAGTTTCCTCTCCAAGACTTTACCCTTTTAATATAATCAACATGAGATGTGCAGACATTTAAATCTCCAGAAAGGAGAAATTTCTTTTTCTCCCCAAGGAATTTAATGATGTGAATAGATCTATCCAGAGTTTGTATATTGAATTACATTACCAAAAAAATCTAAGATACAAAAGGTGATGTGAACACTTTCAGAGGTTCCACTGCTAGATAACAAAGTAGCAACTTAGAAAGAGTAGTCACGAGTTTGTACAAAGTAAAAAAAAAGTAATTTGTGGAGATTTCGGGAAACAGTTGTTCACCTTTTTGTAAGAGTCGGCTCACTCTTATATAGAGCAGGGGTGTAAAACATAAGGCCCAGGAGCCAGAATCGGTCGGGTCGGGTGAAGACCCCAATCCGGCCGATTGGATGGCTTTGAAAGTGAAGGAGGACATAAATGTTAAACTTTTTACAGTTTTTTTTCCCCACAAGTTTTACATCTTTTCCAACTGATAAGACCTCCCCCGCTGCCATTCACAATACACCAAAGTAATTAAGTTACAGACTCCTGTATTTTACACATTTACTTCTTACAGTGAAGCCCAACAGGTTGCACTGACAGGTTTTCTTTCATTTACAATAGCGCTGCATTTCTTTGTCATGTAAAAAAAACCAAGTCATACTGTTAAAATTGCACTTTTATCTTACATTAAGATGAAATGTGTACACGGACAGAAACTGGAGTTTTACTGGTTCGGCCCACATAAGATCAAAGTGGACTTTAAGCCTGACATCTCTTCTGTGGAGTAAATATGAAGCTACTGCTTAAATGGGAGGATGGGAAGAAATCCTGACACTTTTCACTTCTTGCTTACTAGCAGCTCAGGCAAGACCTCCCTCATTATAATATTATGCATATTTAAGACAACAAGTCATCGATATACCACGCTAATTACCTTGAGAGGTGATGGATTACATTCTTTGGACAGGCTAGCTTTTTCTGTTCCTACTCAAAGCAGCTTGAATGGGAGCTGCTTTCCAATTTGAGGCTGCACCTTCCAATATCGCCCCCTGCATCATAATTATAAACTCATTTCACACCTTAGGAAAACGTGACTGCAAAACAAGACACTGCATCATCCGCACCATCAAAGCTGCAAAGGTTTTAAACTGATAGTCTAAAGAAGAGCATCTCGAGCGTGTGTAGCATGAGCTGTAACACATTAAAGACAAAAAGTCAATTCTGTTAAGAGTTTAAACGTCACCAGCGAAATGAGCAGTCTGACACTGCTCCAAAAAGGAGGAAAAAAAAAAGACATCAGAGCCGCACATTTTAGGACTTTCCCCATCACATCCTCCCCAAACAGCAATTTTTCAGAAGCACAGACAAAGCCAGCTGTCAGAACGCAGCTGGTGGCTGACAAACTGTCCCCAAAGTGGCCAAACGGTTTGCATAATACATCATGCCATAAAGAGACAGAACCCAACAATGCTTGCTGTGCAAAATGTGGTACAGACTCAAAAAGAAAAGCATTTAACAAGGATTAGGAGGCTGAATGTAGGAAACATCAAATTGAGCCTGGTTTTTATTACTTTGGACCACTTATTGAGCTCGAATTATGACGCATAAAATCTTTCCTATATTTGGATTTACATGATGACCTACTGATTAGCATACAGTGCTTAACAAATTTATTAGACCACCAGTGTAAGATTTATGCCACAGCTGCCCTAAATTACCAATAAAAATAATTTTTTATTTTTCTGTAATGGTTAATCCACCAGTATGTGCAGCTGAAATGATATTTTTAGTACTAAAATATAATTATTATCAATTATTTTCAAATTTACAGTTTTACCAAAGAAAAGAGCTAAAATGGTGCAAAAGCACTTTTTCTTTATTAAGGTGCCAAATTACAGTTGTTGTTTTACATCCATTACAGATTTGAAACATTTGTTTTTGTAGGTGAAGTTTTTTGACAGATTTCTAAAATATTTGTCTTTGTGACAGATGATCTAATAAATCTGCTAAGCACTGTACCTTTTTGTTGTCTAAAAACACATTTCTCCCCATATTTAACGTTTAAAAGCAGCTTTAAGAAGCAGTAACTAAAACTTTGATGTCATCTTTAAAGTGCTGTTAGGACAGAGCTTTTTAATTTGCGTATGTGTATGTCTGCTAAATTTAACAACAATCAGAAAAAAAAGTCTTAAAATTAAGGAATGAAAATAATGAATTTCAACATAAAAACTTACTTAAAAAACATTTGTAGTCATTTAGTTTAGAGGAGGATGTAAACTGGCATGTGCTTTCAAAAGACTTAAAACAGGTGTCTTAATATGCTACAAATTTGCACTGTCCAATATTTAATGTGCAGCTATGAATAAATAGATCAGGTCCGGGAGGGTGAACCACTTGATGGAAACAGACAAAGCACGAAAATCCGACATGCGTGCTGACAGAGGTTCATGTTCTTTTTCTTTTCCAAGAGTGGAGGGTGGAAAAAAACCCTCCTCAGTGAGTCCCTCAAGAATTACCCTTCACAATCTTTCAGCCCGTCACCAAAGAAAATTCACAGATTAGATTTCGGTCCAGTGTTGACTGGAATTGCCCTGAGCTCAGTCCGCATGCACAGGTACTCTCCAATTACAGCCATCAACGCCATGCAAGCTATGTTGACGAGCCACCAGGACAAGGCAGCTGGAAGATGAGCGTTATATATCCAGCAGCCGATCATGTGGAAGAAGTGCACGGTGACCGTGAAGTCCAGGCACTGTTTCCCTCGGCGGATGAAGAACCACAGACCGAGGGCGCTGCAGGAACAGTGACATGGAAAAGATGCCAAAGTTTGAGTATCACTGTACATTAAATGTCGACCATTTTCTACGTAAACATTTAAAATTTTCAACCTTTACACTTAACGAAATGTGTAACTGCACAGCTGTAAATAAGGTCTAAACACCCTTTTATAATGAATGCCTCATGGGATGCTTGAAAAACAGGATGCTGTTTGGCTGTCACACAAATCTCATCCATTTATGATGTATAGAAAAAAGACTGATGATATTTCTCACCAGGTAAGAGAATTCAAGATGAATGCCATCATTGAGAGCCTGCCTTGCACGGTTGCAAAACCGAGAGCCTATCAAAGCAAAGAAAACATTTAACATTTACAGTTTTAAGAGAGCGAATATGCGACACAAAAATGCATACGCACGCATATCTTAAAACTTACTTGATAGCTGAAGATCTGGTCCAATGACCGACTACTCTGCACAAGGCTGTCCACTCCAGCCAACCACAGGCCCAAAAAGCTGTAGTAGATGCACTGCATCAGCACGATCTGGCACACGATGAGGACCGGGTCCCAGATGTAGCTACGGAAATGAGTGGCCATTGCTGGCTGACGTTCCACGTACAGACACAAAGGACGTTAACAACTGCTAACAACTGTTAACTGCTGGCCCATCAGATGTGACTTGTGGGTGTGATCTAAAAAATAAATAAAAAAAAAAAATCTGAAACACAGAAAGTTACATTGGGAAAAAAAGGATTAGATTAGTACAAAGCTTGGTTTTAAATCCTGCTTTAATATATTTATTAGACAGAAATAGGGAAGATTATAGCTACAGCCAGCTGCTTTGCACTTAAGTAGAAAATAAACAGATGTTCGGAACAAAGTGTTTAGTACACTTCGGGCACTTAACACGGTTAGTCCGGTTGACTTAAGCTTTCGCAAAAGTCAGTCTAGGTAAACTATGTGCTTGCATTCATAGTTCCTGTACAAATGGGGGGTAAAAAAGCAGGAGATGAGATGAAATGTGTGAGGAGTAAAGTGTAGAAGTTTATGTTGTTATCGGTTTACACAACAGAGGATAAAGCAGTCCTCATGACCTTTGCACCCACATCAGCAGCAGTTAATAATCACTAAAAACAGGTCAGCAGATCACTACAGTGTTGTCTTATCTTTCATCTTTGTGCATGTGTAAGCATTTATTTCCATCTCAATTCACCGTAGATCTTCTGCTTGACCAGCTCATATTTCCCAAAAAATGTTATGGTCCAAAGCTTGGACATATATAATGGTTGCTAGGGCTGGGCCATATCATACCATTCATGGTAATACCGGTATAATTTTGGGCAACGATAAAAAAATGAAATATGAGATACTTTTTAGTTTTTTCCATACATTAAAAAAATGAGGAAATATTTGAACATGAAAAACCACTGAAGATAAACGCCTGAGCTTTGTACTAGTAAACCAGTATCTGTAATTTGAGAGAGATACATCAAAAAATGTTGAGTATTGGCTAGTTCAGAAGGAAAGAAAGACAGACAAAAAAAACATCAAGCAGCCCAATAAAGTTGCACATTTGAGCAAAAGCTTTACATTGCAAAAGACAATTAGTGATCATTTGCGAACTGCAGATTGAATTGAATTGTAGATGATGTCCAAAAGAATGCTAAATTAATGCCATTTACATCCAATTTTCGTGCTGGATTACACAAACATGTTAAGTTTTATCACAAAAACAGTCTATTCCGGACAAAACACAGTTCTAAAGTTTCCAGATGGCTTTCTAAATATAACAGAGATAATAAATTGTGTTAAATATATGAAATATTTCATTTTCATTGATCCATTTCACTAGAGTAGCCTTGCAAGACCAGGATGTGATGCACATGAGGTGTGACTAATAGTGCATTGTAAGACCCGAATCCCGGACTGCTAATACTTGATATATGAGGGTAAAATTTCATAGCAATCATTACATGTGTCCAAACTTTGGACAAAGTTCTGGCAAATCGGGCATGGTCGAGCAGAAAATGTTGAACAAAGCTGATGATGTGAGATGGAGTGACACACCAAGTCACATTTAGCGATTTTAATGGCATGACCACTAATGGCTTTAAGAATTAATCCAATAATATATCCAACTTGTCTTCAGGTGAACACACCAATGCTGACATTTTTGACCTGAAACTTCCACAACAGCATCGAGGCTTTAATGAAGACATCCGCTTCTGCTTTAACTCGGATCTCAGTTAAATCACACCCACAATATCCTGCTTTAAATAAACACCGAGGTAGCTCAGTAACAATCGGGGTTGTAATGTTATGGTGATGGTAGGTTAGGGTTAGGTGAACACAGAGAAACCCGATAGCACAGGTAGCTTAGCCGTCGACCAACACATACTCGCAGATTAGCAAAAGCCAATGTAATATCATGTGATCGCTCACAGGCGGGAGACTAAATGGCTCAAATCTATTTATTTATATTAAGCTCAACTAAACATAAAAACGAAGGCTAACTCGCGAAGGCTTTTTATCTCCCAGCCTAAAACCTGTAAACATTACAGAGGGTGAGTCGGCGCTAAGTTAAAGCTTCATCGTGTTTGAAGGAGAGCGGTCTGGAAGTGATACGGACCTGCCCGCGGGTCAGAAAGTCTTAAGGATGCTGGATCAACGATAATCCCTATGGCTCTTCAAAGTTCCCCAAATTCTGTCGTTACTTAACCGGGCCTCATCGTACACTACATTGGACTAGCTAAACCCTGTTAACAACACGGAAGTCAGAACAGTTTGCCCGGAAAGAAAACTTCATGGCCAACTAGTCACTGCCAAAGTAAAATACTTCCGTTCTATTCCTGAAAACCCATGTACTGTCACTCCTGCGACATTAATTATTTGCCAACAGTGTGTAATAAAAATGTCTCGTAATTCATCAAAAAGCAACGTCTATAATTGTTTTGTTCATAATAGGTTATTTTTCGTTTCGGAATTTTTTTTTTTGATGAACTAGCTACATTTATTTTGAAAATCTACCAAGTTAAAACTTCCAAACGGTTGCAAAAAATTATGAATTTTACTTTTTGCATATCTAAATCGATAAAGAAATAAAATGATAAACGTTTAAATAATAATTAACAAGAAGCTGTTAAAATATCCAGACAGACAAAGGAGGAAGGGCATATTAACATGTTGGGTTTTTTTAAAATTGTTTTCATTGGGTTTTTTTCCTCCTTTCCTTTTTTTTTTTCTTTTTACTATTGATATTAAAAATTACCACCTTATAGTGGTGGAGGGGTTTGTGTCTCCCAGCGGCTATGTTTTCATGGAGGTGAGGGGGTTGCCCCCCTGGTAGGGTTTTCCATGGCAAATTGGTCCTGGTTTGGGTTGCCAACTTTTTAATTATCAAATAAGGGACACTCTGGAGTGCCAGAAGCACAATGCACAACCAGCTGGGCATAGTGTAAATATGCACTATATGTGACATTGCATGTAATGATCATACATAACATAACATTTAAATTTTGCTGATTATACGGGATGTCCCTGCTAAAACAGGACAGTTGCCAACCCTAGTCCTTGGTCAGGGACCAGACAAGACCATTTTAAAAACACCTACAAGTAGAAGTTCTAGAAAACAGTTCATCCTGCCTGGGATAGGGTTACCAGGGCCCTTCCCTGGTGCAGAGTGACTGCCCAAGGGTGAGCACTTGGTCGCCAGTCTTTGATCCATGGCTTCACAGACACCTCCCTGAGGGAGTTGGGCTGCATTACCTGTGTCTGCTGTGTTTTCTATGTTGATTAATTCAGAATGTGTATTTATTTGACCAGTTATTTGTCTGCTTTGCTAATCCAGCCAGAGTTAGGGCTCCGTTTAAACCTGGGGTCTCTCATTGGATTGTGGAGCCATCTCCCTGGCTTACAGCACCAAAAGTCTGAAGACGAGCGGGGACAAGTCGTCCATCACCGAGAAAGAGGTCACTGTGGCAGTTAAGCGATTCCTTGGTGACATATGGATAGGTTCTGTGCCTGCAGTGATGCGGATGCTGTATCAGTTCATTGTGGTGAAGAGAGAGCTGGGCTTAAAAGCGAAGCTCTCGATTTACCGGTTGATCTATGTCCCTACTCTTATCTATGGTCACAAGCTTTGGGTAGTGAAAGAATGAGAAAGAATGAGATTGCAGATACAAGCAGCGGAAATGAGCATCCTCCGAAGGGTGGCTGACCTTTCCCTTAAAGATAGGTTGTGGAGTCTGGCCATCCGGAAAGGGCTCAGGGTAGAGCGACTACTCCTCCACATCAAAAAAAAGCCAGTTGAGGTGGTTCAGGCATCTGACAAGGATGCCTCCTGGGCAGTGTTGGTCAAGTTACTTAAAAAAAGTAATAAGTAACTAATAGGGGTGCAACGATATTCGTATCGATATTGAACCGTTCGATACAGTGCTTTCGGTTCGGTACGCATATGTATCGAACAATACAACATTTGTAATTTATTTTATCAATTTTCCTTCTGACGATGCTGTCTGTGTTGAGCGCTCAGTGAATCTGTGTTCGACTACTCCGCCTAGGCTGCACTGTCGAGCGCAGATCCACTGAGCGCTCAACACAGACAGCATCGTCAGGAGGAAGAGAGCAGGGCAAGCTAGTGAGACAGAAGTTAAGCTCTACTTGCAACAGGCAAATTGAACCTCATTCAGATCTGGCGTTTGGAATTATTTTGGTTTTCATGTGACGTATGACCCTGAAGGTAAGCGAGTCATGGACTAAAGTAAAACAGTATGTTGGATGTGCCATGCAATGCTCAATTACATTGGTGTGAACTAGTGTGTTAGCGCAGTTAGCTCGTTAACGTGTTGGCCGTCTAGCCCCATGCACGGAGCAATCGGTGGTAGCTCGTTAACGGAGATTTGCGGTGTTGTGGCGTTAAGGTCATTTCAACGAGATTAACCTGAAAGCACTAGTGGGAACACAACGAATATGACTGCACATTTACGCCGACATCATCCTAGTGCAAAGACAAGTGGAAGCAAACAAAAAAAAGCAAGCATGCTACTAACTTTAGCCGAGTCATTTAGACAGCTGTTAGCATATGATTCTCCTTATGCTGCTGAGAATATAGCCCAGAAGAAGCGGATAGTATAGCTTTTATTTTGGAAAGAGCCATTTCTCTGTAATAAACTCTCTTTTCCAAAGATGAGTGATTCCTCAATCAGATACAGGACTTGCAATATCGCTAGCCCGACGTCCTGGAGCTAGCGATTTTTTTCAGTAGGGCTACCAAAATCTATCTCTTCCCTGCCCGTCGGGCTATTGTAGGAAAAATATATGTCAATGCTTTTGCATTCTTTCAGAAATGTAGCTGGGTAATTATGTCATTGGCATCGGTGAGCCACTGTCAATATGTGACATATTGAAGTCGCGTTTGAATTTGCGCTTGTTTTTTTGCTTTCACTTTGCAATCGTGCGAACTGTGTATAGAGAGCGACAGCACTGATCTGTGAGTGATGATAATTTGTGCACCAATTCCTCTGACATCGTATTATTAATCGTTAGCTTACTATGCAAACATGACAAGTGAAATCTCCCGCAGCTTACACATGTGAGAGGTTGATCGCGCAGAGAATCGCTGAGCTTATGTGAGTGCGTGTGTAAAAGCATTTCAGTTCTGCTGAGCCAAATAAGACAGGTCAGGGTGAAGAAGTGACAGCCAAAGAAAAGCTTACCACAAAACGGAGAAGTTATGACAAATCAGACTATAAGGCAAAAAGAAAGTGCAGCTTTATGGTTTCATGGACAAAAGAATTTCTGTGGCTGCGATTAGAGCAGGGCGATATGGCCAAAAATATTTATCATGATATACATTTGAAAATTTGCGATAACGATATAACTGACGATATAATTGATGCGAGACAAAATACTCCACAACATTACTAGCGCAAAAAGACAACCTTCCATTAATTTTCACTTAAACAAGAAGCTGGTTTTTATGTACATTAAAGCTTTATAAAAATGTAACAGTGCAAATGCAAATTCCTTGCTGAAAGTTTAACCAAAAGGCATTTCCAGTAGAAATGGGCTGACATATCCTGAGCATAACCATGTATAATATCCACTGAAGTTAAAAAGAGGTGCTTTGCAACATTAAACTGTAGTGTGCAGTACGTATTTTTTGGACCATAAGGCACATTGAGCTAAACAAAGCAGTTAGATAAATCAAACTTTATTAAACTCATTCTTCTTGCTTCCTCCACTTCTGTACCATTGATTCATTGATGTTGAATTCTCTGGCAGCTGCTCTATTCCCATGTTGTTGCAGTATATTAATGACTAGCCTTGTATTGTGGATGGATTATCTCAGTTGCTCTCCTGACTGACGTTTGGTCCGTTTACAGCATCCTGCCATGCGATTGCATTTGTCTCTAACCATGAGGAACCTTAGTGTTCATCCTCCAGCTTAGGGTTGCCAACTGTCCCTTAAAATACGGAATCGTCCCGTATTTCGAAACAAAAGTACACGTCCCGTATTGAGCTAATAAGGGACGCACTTTGTCCCGTAATACAGTGAGAATCAAAAGTAGTCTATAAATGTTTATGGAATTAACACTTTGTTTGAAAACATAATTCCCAGCCCCTCTCCTGCTTTGTGACCAATGAGCTGACAGCACACTTATGACAATTCGAGTATGACAATTCAGATTACCGCTCATCTCATTGGTCGAGGAAAGGTCGCTTGCGGAGAAAATACCGGAAGACAACAGATGACCACAACAAGAAGCATGGCCAACAGGGGAACAAACGCCGACTCTGCGGTGCAAGTCTCGGATGACAGTACACCTAAAGCTGGGCAGACACTGTGCAATTTTTTTCAGTCACGTTATTCAGCTCCTGCTCAAACTGCACGATTGACTCGCAGGGGTTAGAAGTTGGTAGGTCACGATGCAGGGTCTCACACTATACCACCCGATGCTCTGATGCGACCTGAGTGCTCACACTGTGCCTCCATAAAATGAAGGTTATAACAGAAAATCTGTCGCTCGCTCTCTCTGTCTTTCACTCACACAGACACACCACCACCATCAACTTTTCTAAATTGCTAATGAAAAACATTGATCAGGCAGCTGTGATTGAGCAGCAGTGTAAATCCAACTATTTTCACGGTTGTTGTGGTCGTGATCATTTTGTGATGCCACATCGAAAAGGCTCGGATGAGCTTTCCAAAGTTCTACAAGTTCTACACACGCTGCACAGCCGTGCTGCGCCGTCTTTTTCACCAACGTTTACGTTTGCGCGTGAGCAGTGTGAGCGCCTGTGGTGACACCCTCACGAGCGATTGATGATCGGGAGCTGGTCGTGAGGTGTTAATCACTTCTCGTTACCCCACGTATACTACACGACGCACAATGAAGGCCAAAATCGGTCCGATCACTCAAAAATCGGCTCAAAATGGGCCAAAAATCGCACAGTGTGAGCCCAGCATTAGAGCAGCAATGTTTGTTCCCCTCAGAGAAAGGGAAGAATGGGAAAAGGAAAACACCTGGCTGGAAAACGTTAATATGGGCATGTGCAATGAATATCAGCGCTTTGTGGCCAGAAGTGTGATAATATAATTTATTTTGTGTAATAAACAACTGCAAGGATAGATGATTACAACAAATTGATGACTAATACATAAAAGTAATACATAGATGAATAATGATGATGAGTTATGATGCGTAATCATGGGAACAAGTGGGTTTACAAACAGGAGCAGCTGATTAGCATTAGAAAAGCTGAAATAATACCTCAACTGAAGCCAATTGTACTAAATGCACTAAATGTGCACTGTTACAAGAATATTTTTCTTTCTATTGTTTTCTATTATTTTAAGTTAAGCAGGACAGAGTTCTTTTAAAGAAAGATTTACTTATATTCTCAAAAGTTAAGCATGACAGGCTTCTGTTTAAGAAGGAGACCTGTTTTACTGTGTTAATGTTGTCATTTTGAGCTAAAAATAAATGGCTAAATGATCATTTGTTTCACATGTGTTCATATCACAAAGAATAGAATATGCATCTACTTAAATCAACTTCAAGTCAAATGGTTAAAAAAATAATTTCACACACAAAAAAGAGCTAGAAAATTCACCACACTGGGAAGGGTGAAGACAACTGGGTCGCCCGGCCCTGGCCACGAGGTGTCCCTTATTTATTTTTCAGGGAGTTGGCAACCCTACTCCAGCTTCACTGTTTATGTTATGCTAACATAGCTGTGTCGCTAGCGATCACGTAGCACATCATTATATACCAGCTAGCCCAACTTCAGTAACCCTACAAACGTCACTGCTGTTTAGTTTCCTGCCTTCATTTATGTTGGAAGTGATAGCAGAGCTGTACGTTTGAATTTTTTCAGAAATCTCTCAGTCAGAACATGCTATATCATGCTTAGGTAACTAGCGAAACTAGCGAGCTAACTTCCGCTAGCTTCCTGCTAACTTCTAACTCCGTTAAATGTAATAACTTTTGTTTTCATGGATGCCTGGAAGTTAAACTGAATTGTTACACCTGGTAAAGCAGCAATGCTGATCGTTTTATTAAAGATGAAAGAATTTAGACAGTTAACTCTCAGTGATGCTGCAGTGTTTGTTTGACCTGAAGTGTACTGAGTTTAGGACCCAGATTACTCCCAGATTTAAGAGCATCTTAGTCCGACAAATACGACAATAACGACGGCCGCTTGCATGTTCTGCAAAAAAAATGTGCTTTGTTGTGTATCTGACGGACAAACACCAAACCAGTTCCACATCACTGAAGTTGCACCATTTTTACAAACCAATTCTGGTTCATCTGTTTCACTCAACAATTGGCCATGTGCGTATGAAAACAAAGGCACTGCGCATGCGCGTTTTACTCATATTCTATCGCGATATTTCATTTTCCTATCGTAGCCTAACATTATACCGGTATTACCGTGAACGGTATAATATGGCCCAGCCCTAGCTGCGATATGATGAGCTAAATAACCAGGGCTGCACATAAGTGGTCCGCAGGTGCGCATTCGCTGTCAAAATAAAAAACACGCACAAGGGTTAGGGTTAAATTTAAAAACTGTACTTTTGAGTTAAAATATATATTTATAATTTTAATAAATGACAAATTAAAAATGCATGAACATTTTTTTGTATCGAAAAAATATCGAACCGTGACACCAAAGTATCGAACCGAACCGAACCGTGAATTTTGTGTATCGTTGCACCCCTAGTAACTAATTACTGATTACTTCCCCCAAAAAGTAATCCCGTTACTTTACTGATTACTTATTTTCAAAAGTAATTAATTACTTAGTTACTTAGTTACTTTGTAAAAACACGATTTACAACCTGAATAGATGATAAAGCGATAGAGCTTTCAGCCCAATTCTACTTTTTCTACATAATCCATCATACAAAATGTAATCAAATGGAAAAGTCTATCTTTTTAACTTGTTTTATCAGTTTTAATCTTTTAACTTTATGCATCAAGCAAAAATTTAATTATATGCAACATTCTCTGACTTGAATAAATTAGTTTAACATTTAAACCTATTTTCTGCACATTCCAGCACATAAAATAAAATATTTTTTGTGTTTACACTCACTCTTTCAAATAGATGCAAGTAAAACACAGCAGTAAATAAATAAAGTCAAAGACTAGCGGTCCTGTTGCTCTATTTTCACCTGTAAAGCAGGACTGAGGTAGACGGAGGTTTACCCTGGTGCAGGTGTGCCGCGGTCAGTTGAAGAATCCGCGAGTTTCTCTGTGAATTTCCCATTACCTCGTTGCGCACTCAGTACTTGCTTGGAAGTTTAGGGGGTTTTTTTCGCTGTAAAAAGAAGTTTTCTTCCCACGCACGATGGACACTAATGTTTTTGTCACTTTTTATGGAATCAAACTCAAAGTAAGGTCAGTACTTCCACGCTTTAAACGCTGCACGCTCATACTCTCTCCCGCAATCAATATGTGATCCATTGTTGATCTGCACACAGCTGTTGTCACTAACGGCGCACTCACTTACGTCACTGTCATGAGACATTCTCGCAAAAAATCACGGTTTTAGTAACGCAGTAACGCAGCGTTCCTACGGGAAAGTAACGGTAATCTAATTGCCGTTTTTGCAATAGTAATCCCTTACTTTACTCGTTACTTGAAAAAAGTAATCAGATTACAGTAACGTGTTACTGCCCATCTCTGCTCAGAAATACTGTATTTCACTAATAATAAAGTTTTCTTATTTAAAATAGGAGGAAATGGAAATGGACAATTCAGTCTGGTATCAAGTAAAAAGTCTTTTTTTCTGGAACTTATCAGGCTATAAGAGGATTTATTTTTTTCTGGTTGGGGTCAAGTTGAACCACTTTCAGGCTCGTCGATGTGTGAAGCTTTTGGGAGGTGAGTTCTGAGCTTTAGAAAGGACTGACTTCGTGATTAATGATTTTAAAAAGAAAACATTATACAACCCATGGTGACCAGATCTGGCACGCCCCACTTGCCAGGTGTTCCTGATTTTTTTAACTTAAAGTTAGCCTTTTTCTTAGTCGGAGCTTTGTGTGCACTGGTTGCCGCTGCGTTTGTAAGGTAATGTTGTTTGGCCTTGCTTTTTTAAATATATACACATATATATATATATGCACATCCCGAACATGCTCAATGGGTGACATGTCCGGTGAGTATGCTGGCCATGCAAGAACTGGGACATTCTCAGCTGCCATCTGCCCTGAACAATGTGAACCATGATTCATCCGTGAAGCGCACACCTCTCCAACGTGCCAGACGCCATCAAATGTGAGCATTTGCCCACACAAGTCTGTTACGGCGACGAGCTGGAGTCAGGTCAAGACCCCGATGAGGACGACGGGCATGCAGTTGAGCGTCCCTGAGACGGTTTCTGACAGTTTGTGCAGAAATTGTTTGGTTGTGCAAACCAATTGTTCCAGCAGCTGTCTGGGTGGCTGGTCTCAGACGATCTTGGAGGTGAACCTGCTGGATGTGGAGGTCCTGGGCTGGTGTGGTTACACGAGGTCTGCGGTTGTGAGGCCGGTTGGATGTGCTGCCATATTCTCTGAAACGCCTGTGGAGACGGCTTATGGTTGAGAAATGAACATTCAATGCACGGGCGACAGATCTGGTTGACATTCCTGCTGTCAGCATGCCAATTGCACGCTCCCTCATTGCTTGTGGCATCTGTGGCATTTTTGCTGTGAGACAAAACTGCACATTCCAGGGTGGCCTTTTGTTGTGGGCAGTCTGAGGTACACCTGTGCACTACTCATGATGTCAGATCAGCATCCTGATGTGGCACACCTGTGAGGTGGGATGGATTATCTCAATATAGCAGTTGTGCCACTACCACACATTTGGACTGATTTGTGACCACTGTTTGGGAGGGATGGTTATATTGTGTATCTGGAATGAATTTTAGGTCTCTACGTCCATCCCATGGGGAATGGGAGCAGTAACAAAGGTGTTGCGTTTATATTTTTGTTCAGTGTATATATATATATATATATATATATATATATATTTTTTTTTTTTTTTTTTTTTTTTTTAAAAAGCAAGGCCAAACAACATTACCTTACAAACGCAGCGGCAACCATATATATATATATGTGTGTATGTATATATATATATATATATATATATATATATATATATATAGTATATTGAGTTAATCTGTATGTGAAACGGTTCCTCTGCTTGGGCAAAGGGTTCACAAGTTAAAGATTTGCAGTTGGGGGATATGGGACGAGCGTTTGTGCAGCTGCAACCGACCACCTGAACATCCACTTTTCACCTTGCGAAAGCTTTTCACTTTTATTGACGGTTTCCAGGCTTATTGCTCCAGTTTTATTTTTCCAAATACCTTTCAGAGGTAATTATGTCATTTTATTTTCCTTTTTTTTCTTTTTGCAGATTCATACTTTATGCTAAAATAATTATTAAACACAGCGAAAAAGTATAATTTAGTATTTTTCCCCCCTGGTGAAAATTGAGGATTTGTACCTTAATATTGTGCACATGTACTCTATACTCAGTGAAATTGGATTCAGTTTTATACGATTCTTTAAAAAAAAAATCTGCTTCCATTAACACATCTGAGTATGGCGTTATCAGGTTAAGATACAGTACTGTGCAAAAATCTCGAGCCAGCCTACGTTTTATATTTTATTTCAATCCAGCTTTTAAATTTTGGTTCAAATTGTTAGAGGAGGTCAAGAGAGCGGTACAACAGCGAGTGTCTGCAGTCATCTGTAAAACAAGCTGGGGACTATGTCGTGGTTTAGGGATGAATTTCAGGAAGGGGTGGGGAGAACTTGTTAAAATTGAAGGAATTATGAATGTCGAAATGTGCTGTCAGCCTTAGCCAGTCAGAAAGCATGTGATTGGCAACAGCTACATTTTTCAGCAGTGATCACAAACACACTGCCAGTTCAGTAAAAACACACCTGGAAAGAAAACACAATGTAGCAGTCATGGATTAGCCTCCAAAGGCAGCCAATATCCAAAGAGGAGCTTTGCATGTCCTTCAAGAAGCCTGGAGAAGTATTCCTAAAGACTACTTCAAGAAATGACTGTGTTGGAGAATATTGACGTTCACGCTCGTTAGATTGGTATAAACTCAGCTTTTGCTTCATATTTCTGTATAAGTTTGCATGTTTTAGTAAATCACTGCACCTATTTCCCAGTTTTCCTTAGAAAATGTATAGAAGTGATGGGTGGATCAAGACTAGCTTGACGCTCACGGGAAATAGTCACATGTGGGTGAAACCTGAATGTATGGTGGATGATTCTGATCATGAATTCAGAACTCAAGTTAAACAGTAATTGTAACAGCATTATTAATTCACATTAGTAAGGCAGACTTAAAAGAAATCCAAGTTACAAAGCTTTGCAGTTCTTTGTTTTTTTTATTTTTTTAAAAATACAGTGCACATGTGAAAAGGACAAAGGTCTAAGGTTAATCTCTAACACAAGAGCAAGTCTTAGACAGAACCTGACAGCAGAGCATGCTGTCCAACCTTGGATTAGTTGTAGTTATTGATATTTAACCCTTTACTTTGATTTTAAGTGTTTTAGTATTTGATATTTACTTTGTGTTTATAGTGTCAAGAAAGACCATAATGTTTAGGGCACATATGAGTGTGACAAGAATATGGCAGCTCATAGAAAAGAGGATGATGTCGTGCATCAGTGTGCGTGGGAAACTGCCCGGGCTTCAGCGTGCTGTTGGTAAGAATAATATTTGAGGGTCTCTTTTTTTTTTTAAATATCAAAGATGATCAGTATCATTTTTTTCAATCTGTACATGCCTGAAGAGTGTCTGTATCAGAAGTTCTCGGTTTTATTTGTATGTGTGTGTATATATATGTTTGTTTGTTTTTTAACAGGTGAAGTTCGGAGGAAGAGCAGCTTTAGACAAAGCCCTTTGCTGTCAGCCGCTCCTGTTCGTGCGCTCATAGATGAACAGATCAGCATTAAAGGGCGTTTCCTGTCTCAAAATTATCCTGTCACAGTATGCGCACAAATGCACAGTGAGGAGGGAGATCTGTGGGAGGCGTTTGCTCATTATACAACAAATGCGAGCAGGAGCATCAACTGTGAGTGAAATACTCTTAAGTGCTGTTGGGTGACATAGTAGACAGTTTCTGTAATATATAGATGTCCACATAAATAAAAGCAGCTGGCATGTGGGACATATAAGCAGGGCAATAATGTTGAGATGCTCACTGTGCCAGTGGCAGGGTTTGACTTTTTTATTGTATTTAAAAACAAAATGGAGCAAAAAACAAACATGCTGAAATTAAATTGAACAAAGTGTTTGTCATTTTAATCTGCAAGCTGCAAGTAATTATTGATAAAAGTCACAGGTTAATATTTAATATGTTTACTGTGGAGACATCCTGTGGCAGTCATGTTATATTAATTCACTTCAGTTCAATTTTATTTTATTTATATCGTGCACGCCATTTCTTATCAACAGTAGCTTCAAGGCACTTTATATTGTAGAAAGAAAATAATCAGACTCCGTTTTAACAAGGAGACAGTAAAGATTGTGTGAAGAGATATTAACCAGGCTTTTATGCAGGCAGTGTTTCATTTTATTTTTGTCTCTGTTCTTACCTGAATAGTGACCAGCGATCATTCAGTTGGAGGTTCTTATTTAGGCTGTGAGCCGATGGGACTCTTCTGGGCTTTGGAGCCTGCACTCAGAAGCAGAGAAAGTTTGAGGCAGGTTTCAAATCCAGCTGCCTCTTATGTTGCGCACTTAAAAATACAGCTAAAGGATTCTTTCATTCATTCTACATTTCTGGCTTCACTGACTGCTTCTTTCTCTGTGTAAATATAAATGCTGATCACAGGCTTAGGAAAAGAAACGTGGAGACGCCATACATAGTGAACATCTCCTTACTGGAGGGCCACACTTCACCCAGTGAGGGGCAGAGCACTGAGCTGGCAGCTGTAACCGTTGAGCGCTGGTACATGGCGCCAGGAGTGAGGAGAATAGAGATTCGTCAGAACAAAATTGTAGGAACATTATTCTTACCCCCTGGTGAGCGTTCACTGAAGTGGCATTTATTGGCAGTGCCTTAGTCAGCAGTCACTGAACTTCACATGCTGATTTCCTGCAGGCCCGGGCCCTTTTCCTGCTATGCTGGATCTGTGGGGAATGGGTGGAGGACTGTCGGAGGACCGCTCTGCACTTTTTGCCTCCAGGGGATTCGCGAGTCTTTCTGTTGCCTACATGGGGCACAAAGACTTACCTGGACCACCAGACATAATGAGTGTTGCCGATTTGTATTTCAAAGTAGGATAACTTTGTCCGAGTTTCAGTGTATAAGCACTGGATTTAACCTAACAGCCTTGTATTTGTTTGTAATGTTTTTGTCACTCTCTTAAAATGTTTTGTTTGGTCAGTCAGCCTTCCAGCTACTTCAAGATCACTGTCAGGTCGATGCAGACAGAATTGGGGTCATTGGCCTCTCCTTTGGAGTCTGTCTGACCCTTCGCATCGCCACTAGGATTGGTGTTAAAGTGTGTCCCAAACTCACCTGTTTTGAAATCTGCCGTATGATCATCACATTGTTATTTGCATATGAAAAATACAAATCTGATAGACAGGCAATTATGAATGACGTTAACATTCATTTGTTCCCCTTTCCAGCCATCATGTTTGATTTGTATTAACGGGCCAGTAGGAAGCCCGCTGTTAGATGAAGATGGCAAGACCAAAACGATTGAGAGGTAATGGCTGGTTACTTTAGATTCTACTCTCAAATCAAATCAAATCAAATCACTTTTATTGTCACATCACATGTGCAGGCACACTGGCACAGCACATGCGAGTGAAATTCTTGTGTGCGAGCCCCACAAGCAACAGAGATGTGCAAACACAACAACACAAACGAGCAAAATACAAGAATGGCCAACCTGAAACTAATAAATATATGTACAATATATAATAGTGTATGCATTTCTGGATGTGTATACTAAATATTTTCCTACGTGTGTGTGTGTGTGTGTGTGTGTGTGTGTGTGTGTGTGTGTGTGTGTGTGTGTGTGTGTATACACATTTTTACAAATTAAATAGTAAAAAAAAATAATAATAATAATAATAAAATATATAAAATATACAGAGTTGAATATGTGCAAAACAAGTGGCATTTATATACAGTGTGGAGTGCATAATGTTCAAGTTCCAGTAGTGAAGCTGAGGTGTCTATGAAGTGTTCAGCAGTCTGATGGCCTGATGGAAAAAGCTGTCTCTCAGTCTGCTGGTACGGGACCGGATCCAGTCTATTTGAACTGTTCACTTCTGGTGTCACTTATAAGTACAGAGTACTTATAGATATTTCTTATTTTAATGTTGGTTTTGATTTCTGGACAATGATGCTTTTTATTTTGATAGCATGGCCTCTGTACACCTCTCCAGTGGATTTTTAACAAAATCCCACATTAAGATGGGCAGTCTAACACATTTTAAACATAAGGACTGATTATAATAGTGTACTTTGTGGCTCTCTTTTAATCTGGATAAATCATGGTGGTAACTTATGGTGAACCTGATTGGGGCAAGGTTATGTTGAGTTTCAGTGAAATTATGTGTTTACAGTATGCTTTAAGTGCAATATACAGCCCCAATTCCAAAACAGTTGGTGCAATGATTTGCACATTTCATAAACTCCTACTTTAGTCACAATGGAGCAAAGAAAATCTCTAAACTGAGAAAAATATGAAGTCTGTTTGAATTTGATAGCAGCGCTGTGTCTCAAATGTTAGGAAAGGGCTCATATTAGGAAAATTACTCTGCTACGTTTGTGGGGTATTTGTTGACAATCATTTGAAATCAGTTAAACTAATTTGGCTTTGCTGTGGCAACAAACTAACAAGCACCCAACAAACTCTTTATTGGGTGTGTGGAGTGTGTCAGACCTGGGTAACATTTAATTACAGATGATATGTTGTACTTAATTTCATGACCTTTTTCCTTTTCCTTGCCATGCTTTTCTTTCCCAGTCATTCTGGTACAGAATAATCTTGACCCATAAAAGCCATCTGCTGATTGCACACATTAACGGTGATACGACTGTATCTGTCGAGTGATCTTGACTTGGTTAGGTGTTGTGAAGTTCTTTTTTTTTAACCATGGAAATAATTCTGTGATGCACTTTAGCTGCAGGTTTTTGCTACCTCTCTCGTAAATTTGTTTTGATTTTGCAACAGTTAATGAAATGCTCTCGTAAAACCTAATGAATTCTACTTGAAAGTCTTAACTTCAATCATATTGAGTCTTTAAACTCCAGTGTGGTGATGTACCTTACAAAAGTATATTGTGGTCCAAAAACATAATTGTAACCTGGACTTTTATCTAGTTCAGGGTCCTCCGTCTACTCCAGGGCTGACATAGTAATCGCTGTTTTTAAGATTTTCACGAGTAGATGTTAACAAACAGTACCATCTCTGTCCTGTTCTGCTCTTTAAGTGACCAGAAACATTGGGAGCTCGATGATCGAGGCCGTGTGAGTTTCAGACATGTCTCTCTGCCGGATAATCTGCCCCCTGAGAACAAACAGAAGGTTCTTCTCTGCCCATCACACATGCATAGAGAAGCACATGTGTATAGAGCTCAGTAATCTCTGCTCTTTATTGTTTTTTTTGTTTTGTTTTGTTTTCTCTTATTTTCTTTTTGTAGGTAAAGAACATCACCTGTCCTCTCATGTACATAGTGGGTGAAGACGATCTGTGTGCTGCAAGCACAGAGAATGCAGATGTGGTAAATTAACTTATTTTACTTTAATTACAATTACAGATTACATTTTAAATGTTATGTTGTCCTGTATATATTATTTGGAGACTCTTGATGTCTACTGAAATGTATTAAAACACTCTAAGAATACAACAGTCATTTATAGTCACCTGAATGCAGTTTTGTATATTGTCTGTGTGGACTGACTGCACACTGTTTCATTGTTTACTCTGATCGCTGGTCATCAGATTGAGGAGGCCCTGAGGTCTGCAGGTAAATCCCAGCTGTTTACCCGCTTGTCATATCCCGGTGCCGGTCACCTGATCGAGCCACCCTACGCACCGTGTGCAAGAGTGTCTCTATGGAGAGCCAAACCAGAGAAATGTGAGCTTAAGTTTTCCTCTCATTGTATTTTATTAAGAATACAATATATAATGGTAAATAAATTTGCAGTTGGTTGTTTTTGGGTTTTTTTGTTTGTTTGTTTTTCTTCCCTGCAGTATTCACTCTGTGGGGAGGTCACCCCGCACCCCACGCTGCTGCTCAAGAAGATTCCTGGAAGAGGATCCTAGAGTTTATGGAAACCCATCTGAGGCGGTGAATCTCCACATGGACAATAATCCATCGTTAACATGATTCTGAAATCCTGCATTTGTTTGAGCTGTGAAAGATGTCCTACGACTGGTGTGCAACTTGGGTTTTAAAAAATAAATAAATAAATAAAACTCATTTAAAAACTATTTGGGCCACAAGAGGTCGCTGTTTGGTTGCTATCAAAACAGCCAGTTCAGTATGAGTCAGTCTGCACCGTACAAAGGAAAAGAAAGCTTTCAGCAGTTTAGACCCACAGATGTTGGGCTGTCAGGTACAGCTGTGCCTATACTACTCAACAAGTAGTATAGGTGTTAATTTTCTTAGCTGGACTGCATTACATGTACACACACGTCTGTTATTTGTCTTTCTAAAAGATGGAACCAGTCAGCTTGGCCTTTCCTCCTATTTCTCAGTTTGTGTATCCTCGTTTCCTTTCCTCACCTTTTTGACTCCTCACAAGGGGAGAGAGGAGTGTGTAATCAAAACAAAAAAAAAGACATCCTTGCTTCAGAGGGCATGTTGTGAAGCAGCATCTGTTAAACATGTCTCAGTACTGCTGTAGCTTATCGATTCTGTCAGATGAGCATAAATGTTTAGTAATGACAGACAAATATGTGGAAGTATCATACGTTTATATATTTTTGTTTCTCAAATACATATTCCACACATGCTATATTAGAAACTCACCAGCCATTTTATTAGGTATACATTGGTGGTGTCCGTTTGGACCCTCTTTTGCCTTCATTACTACATTAATTCTTTGAAACAGATTCAACAAGGTGCTGGAAACATGCCTCAGAGATCTTGATATGATAGTGCCACACAGTTGCTGCAGATTTGTTGGCTGCACATCCATGATGCAAATTTTGTGTTCCACCACATCCCAAAGGTGGCTTGAGGTCGGGTGACTGTGGAGGCCTTTTGAGGACACTGAACTCATGTTCAAGATTCTAGTCTGAGACAATCTGCGCTTTATGACATTTTGTTTTCCTCCTACAAGCAGCCATCAGGAGATGGGTACACAGCAGTCATAAAGGGATCGACAGGTTCGGCAACAATACACTGGTATGCTGTAGTGTTTAAACCCAATTGGTACTAAATAGCCAAAACTGTGCCAAAAAATATCCCCCACACTATTTCACCACCACCAGCCTGAACTGCAGGATCCATAGATCTAAAAGTTCATCTTGCTTACATCACATTCGGACTCTACCGTCCAAATGTCACAGTTGAAATCTACTCTCATCAGATCAGGCAACATTTTTCAGTCTTCCATTGTGGCCTCAGCTGATAGGAGTAGTCGTCTGCTGCTGTAGTTTATCTGCTTCAAGGTTTGAGGTTTCATTTTGTGCCTTGAGAGATGCTGTGCTTTGGTTGTAAAGAGGGAGTTACTGCTGCCTTCCTGTTAGCGCAAATCAATCTGGCCATTCTTCTCTGACAGAACTTAAAAGGTCAATGTCTACATATTTAAATCTGTTGAGTTGCTGCCTTGTGATTGGCTTATTAGATATTTGTGTTAATGAGCAGCTGAATAGGTGTACCTAATAAAGTGACTGGTAAGTGTATTCAGCAAACATTTCCATACTAACAAAAAGTATCAAACTGCATGACTAATAAGAGTCTCCCAGTCTCACAAAAAACAAAACATACTTTCTTTAAATGAGTAATTCATGTGCATGCAAACTATTTCTGTTGCTTTGGAATAAACAGTTCATTGCAAGCAGAGGTGACCATGGCGATGAGGGCAATGAACTCTTTGAAGTCGATCTCCAAATCTCCGTTCTGGTCGAGGTCAGCGAAGAGTTTATCCAGTGTGTCCTTCTCCTTGATTTTCTGTTTAGCAGGAAAATTGCATTAAAGTTCATCATTAGTAGTAAATGGACAGTATATTTAATAACACTGATAAATCTGTAGCATCACCACTAACTCTACTAGGCTTAAATCTTAATTACACCGGAATAGAAGGAAAATTGTTAGTTATCTAATATATTTTTAATATCTCTGAGACTCAGCTGTGCAGCGTGTCAACGCTTGAAAAGGAAGCAAATAAAAATCCACTACAGCCCCAAGCAACCTTAGTCAGTTGTACATGCTTTGCTCGTATAAATTTTAAATCCATCAATAATGTTTGTGAAATTCTGTGCAGTTTTTTTCTTATTTAAATACACACTGTGCTGCGTGCCAACAAATTGATGCATGCTTATTATTGTTGTCATAAACACACCCGCTTTGCAGAAGATATCTTACCACTATGAAATTATTCATCTCATTGTTGATAAGTTCTTTAAGGTCTGCTTTCTTCAGATTGCACTTCTGACCCGAGTATTGGTGGAAAGTTTTGATAATAGTGATCATGCTGCTCTCCAGGTCTGACATAGCATCCTTTGTGGCCTGAGACAAACAATTTGAATCAGTTCCCGTTCTTTTGTCTCGCCACACAAAGAAGTTAATTGTCCGTCTGTTGGATTTTCTTCATTAAATACACTATAAGCATGCATTAATAACAGCATATTTGTATCCTGATCTTGTAGGACAACATTTAAAGAAAAATCTGTTTTGCATAGGGAGCATTTTGTCTTTCTTACCTCCATCTGTAGAACCTCCTCTGTCTTCCAGGGATCTTCAGTGTGACTGAAGGCTTTTCGAGCTGCGACTTCTCTGCCTCGCTCAAATTACCTCGCACACTAAACTGTATTGATCAATCGTCTCACACTCACCATGTAATGCACAACTAATGGATCCTAGTGGTCAACGCTTCAACCAAGAACCATTTGCCTGTAAAGTGTGTGTGCAGTAGTCTTTATGTGAGCAATATACTGTATGCATTTTTATTTATTTATTTTTTTCAGCACTTAGCTTAACATGAGGCTTAAATGAAGGCTAACCTCAGATGAGCACATAATGGATACTTTGCTGAGAACCATGAGGTCACAAGTAACAGAAAGTCAAGAACTACAAGAGACTTTAAAAGTGTTAAATATCTGCAGATCTGCATCTCAGTGAGATTTCTTTGAGCTCAAATGAAGGCCAATAATATCTGACAGTGTCTGATAAGAGTAAATAATTATTAGTCACCAAGCAAGATTTTGTCCTTATGCAAAAGAGAGAATTCAGTTGCTTTATGTGATGTAATCTAATTTACAGATGCAACTATTTGCATTTGTCTTAAGGCTCTAAAGCAGTTGTGAAAAACCGATCCCAGTGAACTGCCATACGTGTCACATGGAGATAGTACAGTAAGAGCTTCAGTTGTATTCTTAACTCAGTACTGTGTTTGGGGTCTTAACAGGAAGAGATGCTGGAATTGCCTGTGCCTTCCCATTAAAGGAGCTCTAAAGAGTTCAAATGGAAATCCATTTCATTACAGTAAGAATATGGCTATATGATACAGCATAAAAAAAAAGCATGACAGAGAACTAATGTGCTCCACAAAGGCAGATGGGGTGGTGGGGGCGAGTTTCTTATAAATTAGACATGATTACTGGGGGCATTGCTGGGGCTTAATCAATAAATTGCATTATATTGTAGCGAATATGGTCTGGAAATGTACAACATGCTTTTCCTATCAGTATATTAGTATAATTAGTATATCAGTATGATTTTCCACCCTTGTACCTCCTGGAAGAAAAAACAAGGTCCAGATTATTCACATGTTGAATACACTCAGCGAATTAGTCAGTAATATAAAAATATTAATTTAAAACAGAAGCATTTTATGTTCATAAACAGTGTAGTTTCAGTTCATTTCTAATGACCTGGATTCAACATAACCTCGTTTCACATTATTTAAGAAATATCATTAAAAAAAACAAGAACGTCCTCAAGAAGATGTTTAAATAAAGCTCCATTATCAATACCTATCACATGCAAATTGAGTACCTCTTTTTCAACAATACTTGTCCAAAAATACACAAAGGACAACTTACAGTGCTGTGAACAATTCTTGAGTCATTCCTCATTTCTTTATATTTTGCTTCCACGGAGCAGTTTTTTAAATTGGTCTTGAGCAATAATTCTTCAAGTTTTCTGGAGGCCTTTCGAAGTCTTTGCACGCTGGCTGATTTTTCCGACCACTGTCAGAGGACTCTTTGTTTTGTTTTGTTTTTTCTTAAGCCACTTAACCCTCACTTATGTGTCATTCCAGAATAAAAAAGACGAAAATCAAGGGATGAAACGAAAGAATCAGTTTTAAATTGTAAAAATTGACCCGGTTTGAGGTGTTGATTTCAGATTTTTGTTTTTTAGTTTTACTCGTATTTATTTGTGGCTTGTATTGCATTGATACTTTTATTTTGTATTGGAATTTGAAATCGATTTATTATACATTATTTATTTATTTTCATTTTATTTCTTTGTTCAGCACTTGGTCAGAGCGTAGGTTGCTCATCCATCGTATTTTTGATTTATACAGTAATACATTTTCTTTGTAGAACTCTGGTTTGCGGTTTTGACATGCATTTATGATTCCCGAAATATGATCTCGAGTTTTACATTTGCACTTGAACGCACCGCTCCCCCCCCCCAACTTGTTGTCCGCTCCTTGAAAACCCTACACGCCGTGCGTCACGTAGCTGCGCGCATGTCTGAACCTTGTATTTGTCAGCCTAGATGTGAGGGTGCCGTCCGCCCTTCTTCGATCGGAAACTCGCACTGACGTAAAGAAGCCAGAGCAGGCAGTTCTACGGGTTAATTAAGAGCTTTAAAACCGTAATTTACACCAAGTCCACGCCTTTTTTTTTTCGTTTTTGCTTCTTGTCTCCTGGAAACATCCTCGTTTGGTGACTGGAGCACTAACAAAAAAAACCCCACAGGTAATGAGAAGAGGGACACACGAGAGGAAAAGAGGCAGTTTTTAACCTGGTGTTTAGTAGGCTTTCATTTATTCCACTCTAGTTTTTCTTCGCATTCGTATTCCTTTGCTCGTAAATACCTCGTTAAACCTCAGCTGACCTTTTTGGCAGCGGTTTATCGGAGAGCTCTGTACAATTATATTTATTTGTAAATATTTATTTAATTGAGCTTAAACTGATGCTTTTTTTCCCCATATCCGGAAAAGAGGCTGTCTTGCTGTTTAAGATTACTAATAGCATTCAAAGGTGTCTTATTGGCACTGAGTAGTGATTAATGCAGACCTAATTGCTGCTTTTTGGTATTTCTCTCCTAAGACTGTGACTAAGATGGTGACTGTTGATTTTTTTTTTTTTTTTTTTTTTTTTTTTTGTGGTGGTGGTGTTTTTGTTTTTAGTTGTTGTTGTTTTTTATTAAGTGTTTCATACTTTCGAAGTCGTAATCTGCAGATTTGGCCTTATTATCCCTGAAACTTGCTGCATAGTCACATCACTCTCTCACACTCACTTCTTTCAGAAGTGCCCTGTTTTCATTTTGAGTCTATAATTAGCCTAGTGTGCAAGCTGTGACCGCCCTCATCTCTTTTTCTCTCCCACACTCGTACACACACTTTCCTTCTTTTGGTCGGTTTCACTGAACTCTCTGCTCTTCTTTCTCTGTTCAGGCATGGCTGATCTGCTGAGGCTGCTGCTCAAGGTGGCTGAAAAGGCTGCTAACGTGGCTCGGGTCTGCAGGCAGGAGGCTCCCCTCTTCCAGCTCCTTGTGCAAGAAAAGACCGGAGATGACAAGAACAAGAAGTTCGTCCAAGACTTCAAGACGCTCGCCGATGTGGTGATTCAGGAGATGATCCGGCATGATGTTGGCGCTCAGGTAAGGACAAGTCTTTGTGAAGCCGGCCAAGATCAGACCGCATGTTGCATTGTAATTGTGTCATTTTTCTTTTGTCCAGTTCCCTGACATGGCTGAATTCATTCATGGCGAGGAGTCTAACAAGTTTGAAAACGGGCTTGGTAATTTCTTAATATTATACATAACACACTACACCCTGGGCCAAGAACAACAGCTTTTGCTCTAGGGCACTTTTGTAGTCTAATTTGAGCATCACTAATGCCTCTTTTCACCTGCCAGATCTAGAACTCCTTCCCTACATTAGATAGAGTTACTTAAAGCTGGGCTGGGCACCTTAAAATTCCCAAAATTGGAACCACTGATGTCTACAAGTTGTTAAAAAATAATAATATTTGTTTCTAAAAAGCATTTTAAGAGCAACAGTGTCTACTTCAGGACAATGTGATCCAATGCTGTGCTGTTACAGATGTGCACACCTTGAATCCTCCATGCACTCTAATGAGTCCTGTGTATGAGTTTGTCAGGTGTGCCTCAGGATTATTCTGGGGGAGCCCCAGCTGTGCTTTTGTCTCAGGAGTGCAGATTCATAAATATAACATCCAGCATTAAGATGTGCTGTGTAATAATAACCATGATGATAATCAGCCTACCTTCATATTAAAATCTAGAGGAGCTAAATATACACTTGGCAAATGATCTTTACTTTAATCTATGAGTACATAGTGAAGACATTAATATGTTGCTGTCTAAATATTTACCATGGCTGCACCTTGCACATTAGAAACATTTGAAGTGGTTTGTTGTAAAGTAATCAAAGTCTCTGTCTCTGCCACCAGGAGAGAGTGTGATAGTCACGGTTTGTAGCACAGCGGAGGAGACGGCGGCGTTGCTGGCCACCGTGCTTGACGGTGACCACACAGCAGCTTCTCTGCTGGCTAAAGCCATCCACCAAGACCCGGCGACCGTCGAGGCAAACACTGATGGCCTGACTGTTTCCCTCAGCCCCTCTGAGCTCGGCATCTGGATCGATCCCATAGGTGAAGAGCTCACCTCTTACCACAATCCCATTCAGCATTCATGTCGGAGCTCAGTTTGTCTTTATTGTGCTTTTTTTAGTTTTTTTTTTTTTTTTTTTTTTTTTTTTTTTTTTTTTTAAATACTCTAGATGCTACCAGCCAGTACATACAGGGCCGAGAGAAGGAGCTGGAGGAAGGCCGCTTGTCTCCATCGGGTCTGCACTGTGCGTTGGTTCTCATCGGCGTTTACCTGCGGAGCACAGGCGAGCCCATCATGGGCGTCATCAATCAGCCGTTTCACCACAAAGATCCAGCAGGCGGGGGGTGAGTAATAGGGATGGGTATTGATAAGATTTTCACGATTCTGATTCCATTTTCGATTCTGTTTAACGATTCGATTCTTTATCGATTCTCTTATTGATTCTTTTTTAAAAAAGGAGAACACTAAGGTCGATTAGCTTAGAACTTTGTTTTATATCTTCTCTTTGAACAAGATAGAAATTGAGTAACATGGCCTTACAAACCCAACAGTGAGATCTTAAGAGATCCACAGGCTACGGCTCTTCAATGGGGTGTCACAGGGTCCCCAAGAAAAAAAATTGTAAATGTAAAATAATAAAATAAATATTCTTCTGTAGCAATATCAAAGTATAACATAAATTATTCTGTAGCAATTACACAAGAATATCCAGTAATGTCCCTGCCTACAATTAAACACATTCACTTACCGAAAATCGGGGGCATCTGCTGCAAATGGGTGCAAGCCTTTTACCACAAACTTAGTCACTGCTCGGTGACATTCGTCTATCCTGGCCTGAAAGGAGACGCTACCGGTAGACTGCAGCGAGAACTGCCAGCATCTGAGCCAGACTCTGTCTCTCTCATCATGGTCACCTAAATGCACAGTAATAGCAGGTTTTGTAATAAGGTAGATCGCGCTAACATAATATGCACTGTTAGTTGATTATTTACCTGCCGCATTAACGGGAGAGGACGTGCAAACGTTACCGCTGCTGCTGGGTTGAGATTCACGAGTCCGGAGCGGAATTAAAAACACGACATTCATTTAAGGTTATCACGTGTTTTGTGAGCAAATGCTTTTGCATATTTGTAGTGGTTCCTCCCTTAAATGAAATATCTACTTTGCAAGTATTGCAAGTTGCCCTGTTGTCATCTGTTCTCGATAAGTATAACCAAACTTTTGAGCGTTTGAGCCGCCATGTTTCCTGCCAGGTAAATGACGCTCCGCAACGTGGTGACGTCATTCGGGGCGACTGGAATCGATAAAGGAATCGTTTGCAAAAATGGCAAACAATTCCAAGGAATTGAAACAGTGGGAACCGGTTCTCAACAAGAACCGGTTTTCGATACTCATCCCTAGTGAGTAATCACTAAAAAGTGATGCATGCTCACACACCCTGGTAAGGAAGTTAATGTTGTTTTTGGTTGCTGGTGATGGTCGTTCTCTTTACCCATAAATGGCCTCCTTGACTCCGTGCTCAAACCAGCGTTCCTCCCTGTCTGCGATGTGCACTTCCTCATCATTTAAAGAGTGGTCTCTGGACTGTAGGTGTAAATAGACTGCCGAGTTCAGGCCTGATTAGGTAGGATTGGACTAAGTGGATGGCACAACACAGCTCTCCCGTGTTGTGCCATCCACTTAGTCGACAATCCTCCTGGCACTTCACCACGTATACTATATTACTCGAGTCACAGCAATGTTTCTTCTTCTATCTCCACTTTGGCAGGGTTAAACATTAAGTTGCTACATTTTGCTGGACTTTATATTATCTATGCAACAACCTCTGGAGGTGAAAAGCCAGTAAATATTAAAACGCCCAAGTTAAGAAAAAAAAAAAAGTATCTTTACGGGCTCTTACAATAAATTAATTTGATCTCTATAATTCCCCCTGCTACAGCAGCTGTATTGCTGTAGAAAGCTCACCTCTTTAAATTTCACCAAAGCTTGCATGATGCAGAATTCAGAGGAATTCGATTCAACAAAATAAAATTCACGTAGAATGATGGTAGAAACGGGGAAATGCATGAGTCTTTAGTTTCCTGTGCACACAGAATGCACAGGAAATGCCGTCCTGTAACCTGCATAGTTTGAGGTTTAAACATTTTTATTCTATCCCACATAAGCATAATCTTCCCTACATTTCCATCCCTCTCTATGAAGGTTGTTTTCTACATTTACCTTTTACTTTCTTCAGCAGATTAGACGATTACAGAAAAACTACACATTTCATATTAACCTCACCCTACTGCAGCTAAATATTAACAGATTGACGGGTTTGAGCAGATGCCATGCATGTCACAGGAAACTTCACACTGTGTTTAGGTGATGGTGTGACATGATGAAGCTTCTGAGCCTCAAAGTAAGATATTCTCACTTTACTCCCGATTCTCTGCAGGTGGAAGGGAAGGCATTTCTGGGGCGTGTCCTGGGACGGCATTAACATCTGCTCTGTGTCCCAGCCGAAAGATGGAGAGGATCGAGGGCTGTCTGTGGTGCTGAGCTCCAGTGAGAAGCAGGTGGTAAAAGGTGTGCTAGCCTTGCTCTGCAGCTCTGACAAGCTGATGTACGCCTCTGGAGCCGGCTACAAGATCCTGTGTGTCATTGAGGGCCTGGCTGATGTTTACATCCTCTCAGAGGGAAGCACCTTTAAGTGGGACTCCTGCGCTCCTCACGCCCTGCTCCGAGCACTCGGTGGGGGGGTGGTGGACTTGACTAAGCGTCTACAGATGACCAGTGAAGGACAGGATCACACAGCAGAACTGACCTATCATGAGCCTGACACTGAGTGCAAAGGAGCTGACCGCTGGGCTAACCGTGGCGGCCTGGTGGCTTATCGAGACTGTTCAAAGCTCAACACTGTCATCGCAGCTCTGAAGGGCAAGCTGTAGATGATGGAAGAGCAGATGTAGCCGGCACGATCTGAAGCATTTATACACATGATCATGTTTTCGATATTAGGCAAGGAAAATTATGGGTGTAGAGGTTGAAATATTTAATTCATAAATGATACAGTCTTCTTCTTAACCAGATGCTTATGCAGTCGTGTGTGTGTGTGTGTGTATATATATATATCGCAAAGTGACAATCAGCTTTGAGCCAAATTATATTTGCAAATGTTTGAATTTCAGTCAAAGATGGAGCTGAGACTGATTCCAACTTTTGTAAAGGAAAATAAAGTTTGGATTAAAAGCTCCAAACATTTAGTTTCCAGGCATCTTTATGATGTCATCAAAGGTTGATTAAGCTGGTGCTTGAGAATAAAGAAGCTCCACCTGCCTACTGTTCAAACCTTCTATTTGTGAGGACCAGCCAATCAGGATAAAGTTGGCTTAAAGGGAAAGGAGCTAATTTGGCTTGTTTGACAGTGAATACAACATAAACGAGGTTTATTTCAGACTGTTAACTTTGAACTGAAAATAAACACAGGGGTGAAAGAAGCAAGAGGGACACGATCCTTGCAGGACAATTGGCACTTGGGTTATGAAAAAGGAGAAAGCAAAACAAATGTGATGTTTATGAATCAATCAGGTAAATGGAAGAAAATAACATGCTGGCAATTAAGGTAGTTGACAATTTATCAAAAGATCCATGTAGGGTAGTTATTTTATGTCAAAACCACAAAGGTAATACTATTATCAATTAATGAAATGCACTGAATTTATATATTCTAGAATGGGCTGCCCGTTATTATCTTTTTTTTTTCTTTAGAATAGCCCCCTCAGGTTCATTGAGTGCAATAGACGGAGGATGATGAGCAACAATCAGTTTTGATGCGTCATTCCGGGCTAAATATTTGTAAATGTGATGTAGCTCAGACATGCATTGATTAAGTTTTGCATTTAGAGTGTTTAATATAGTTGCGAGGAGCTTGAGTGCTCACTGCTGGGCAGCTGAGGAACACTCCAGGAAAGGTAATGGTAATCGCAGGGTCGCTTCTGAAAACAAGATTTTTCTTTGCTTTAATGAGGCAAGTGAGATCTACTTTTTTTTTCTTCTTTCATCGTTATTTCATATCTAACAGGCTATAAATGAGCGAATCAGACTACAGTTGAGTGGCATGCGGTTATCTGCACCTCTCTGAAATGATTCCTTGTAAGGCCCCTCTTTTTCGTAGCCATAACAGGGGTAAAGGTCAGAGAGTGGGAAAGCCATATGAGGTAAAACCCACAGAGTCCTTCTCGGTGTGGGTTTACAATAAAATTAAATATTAAGCCAGTCAGAAAGACGGGATCTGTGCCGGCTTGCAAGCAGCAGATTCTTATCAATATGTCTGCCATACAGAGCCGTGTAACCTCACTTTGTTTATGTTTAAAGTGATATAACGGTGATATGCATTGTATCTGAGGTGTAATTAAAGTTTAATAAACAGGGAACAGAACAGACATTGTGCATATAGGAAATCCTCTTTATTTTGGAAACCAGAGAAAGCGGCAGGGGGAGTGGGGGGGAAGAAACCCAAAAGTGATATTTTAAAACCAGCCAGGGAACTCGCCTCCGTAGTCCCTACAAAAAACCCTGATGATTGTCTGATATTTTTTGCAATAATTCTGCATATTCTGTTAAAAAACTTTAAGGAAAAGATAATTAAAAAAGGTCATTGTGTTGGCTCTCTCTTTAACTTGTTGGACTTTGAACTGCTACCTTTAACACACGTCACAGCACGTTCTCAAATCAAGCATGAAGCGGTCACAGCTGTGGATCCAGTTTCCTGAACAGGAACTGAAGCAAATCCCCAATTCAGCTGGAATCTGTTTTTATTTTCTCACTTTAACCAGGACCAGATTTGTTTTCAACTGGGACCAAGAAAAAGGAAGGGACACTTTAGATAGACACTCATTTACTCCCATGTCCAGGAAACTGGTCAAATACATATAACAAAAAAAACTATTTGACACATGAAGTAAACATGGCAAACGCATCGTCCTGGTTGAGCTCAAACTATATTTGCAACACAGACTTCTTTCAAGCTTCCAGGCGAACACACGCCTTGCATCACAAAAAGCATTCACATACTTTGTCAAGAGGGTAACGGATGTGCAATCAAATGTCACTCATTTAACTTTCAGATTCTACAAAAATAATAATAATATAATAAATCTTGATTTGTAGATGAGCTGTTAGCTTAGTGAGCTACACCTCCTACTCAGCTGCAGCTGGAGCCTTGCTGGCTGGACTAAACCACTGATGACAGTTCAAAATCCCTCTCATGTTATTACAGTGGTGGGTGTGCAAATGAACACAAAGGGAAAAAAATAAAATCACCAACAATGGACGTACTCAATGGACGTGATCAACTGTCAATGTTAAAAAGAAATGCTTTTATCAGATGCCTCATAGCATACAATTGCCATATCACTACACAATCTTCATGTCAGGTGTAAACAATAACAACGGTTTTCTTTCATTAAGCTTTGACAAAAGTTAAAGTGTTATTTCTGACCATGAAACATGTCAACAACAAACCAAACAACAAAATGCAACTAACTGGGATTTTTCTGACACCTTCTTGTTTTTACACAGTAATACCGTGGGGATTAAAAGGACATCAGTCGTTTAGAGTCTGATTAGAGGTTACGTGAACCTCGTCCGACACAACTATGAAAACCCGTCAGGAGTCGCTGAGATGACGGCGCACCCTGAAACAAGCAGACATAAGAGCAATCGCTTTGGACTAGAATCAGATCTGACGTGTCCTGAGCTGGGCGGCGGCTATAAGATGCTCTGTAACAGCACGACTGGCTCAAAAACTGCCACTGAACAAGTAGGTCCAGAATGAAAGACCAGGCAAAGTAATTACTTGCAATAGTGAGATATTGTCTAGTGTTACATCAGTTATAGCCAAAATAAGGTCCAACGGTGCTGAAGGAAAAAGAGACTTTGCAATGGACAAAAAGTAGAACCATTTTTACTTAGAATCAAGCAGCTGTTAAATGTTCGGTTGTGCGATTAGCTTAATAAAGTCAATTACAAATTTTTTATTTCCTCTTTGAGATGTTACTTTCACATTTTTAGAAAGTGGTCTAAACAGTGTGAACCATGGTGTGAATCTACGTGGCTGTGCTACATTTCCACACATCCTGCAGTATCTGCATATTGCAACGTTACCACTTCAGAAAGCTCAGGGTAAAAAACTTTTTAAGGGGTGAGGTGCATCTCTATAATTATCATGCTAAGATATTTTTGTCTTTTCTTTCTGTTTTTTTGTTTTACAAATCAGACACAGAACCACAGCTTGGCCTTTGATTTCAATGGAAAAGCAGATTAGCAGTTGTTTAGACCTGCTTATAAAACAACATGACTTCTCACTAAAGAAATACTTAAATGTGCTGCTTTGGTGAGTTAAAACCACTCCCCATTTTATAAATAATTAAGCTCAGATGTGTTAGGTTAGATTCCTTTCTGAAATATTGTGGGCGATGTGCAGCTTCAGTAGTAGAGCCACATGCCTCTAATATCAATAACACTAAAGACTGTGAAGCTGGCCAGATTAGTATCTTCATTTTTCGATCACAGTGATGCATGTACACACCGGCTTTAACCCTCCTAAAAAGCCGATTTCTTAAGCTAACTTTATATAAAACGTTAACAAAAGTGAGAGAACTGAAGTGTTAAAATGCAGGTGAAAACATCATGCAGTGAAGGATTTGGCAGGACGTGATTAAAAAAAGAAAAAGGTTTAATTACGGCATCCTGATAAGAACTTCAATGCCAAGGCTACAGTCGTCTTTAAGACCAAAATGACAAAAACAACAAAAAAAAAAGTAAGGTGGATTAAGAGGTAAAGCACCATCACTGCAACCTCCTTCAGAACCTCCTTCAATACTTGTATTCAGTTGACAGACTCCTCTTCGTGATCCAGTCTCTCTCTGCTCTGGCTGATCTGACCCCCTTGAATCTTCTCCAGTTCAGATCTTGGCATGCCAACAGGCAGGCGAGAGACAAACATGGCCATTATATTTTGTATCCCTGTGTTGCTGTTTTCATACACTAATAAGTCGGCGAACTTCACCTCTGGAAGGGTTTGCGGACCTTCTTCCTCCTCCTGGGGGGTTTGCCACTTTCAGCCCACGTCTCGCTGGACTCGGGCCGGTGACCTCCCGACATGTAAAAACCTGTCTGACTTGGAGGAGGGGAGAAGGGAGGCGCTCCAGCACCAGGTGGGTGATGAGGCGAACCTGAGTGGAAGAAGCTTCCATTGGCAGCCATGTCATTAGGAGGTCCTCCCTTAAAGATTCGGTTGAAGAAGTCCTGCAAATCAGCTGGGTTGGTCGGACCTGCCGCTTGCTCCGACGGCGTCCTGAAAGATAAGATGGAAATTTAAGTTTGTCGAGGGAAATAATGTCGTTGCATGGAGAGGAACCTTTTTGACTATAATTGAAATGAATAGTACAGCTTTCTTTATTGTAAACGTTGTTATTTCCGCAATACACAAGGGGGAGCTCCTTCTATGTCATACACAGCCAGATGCATGTAAAATACACACCAACATAATGCAGATCGCAGACTAAGAAAGAAATAAAAAGAACTAATATCAAACATGTTTACATTAATCTAATTTGAGCAAAGTCAGACATTTTAAAGCTTATTTGTTTAAATTTCTTCTCTAGTGCCAAAACGTTTGCATTTTCCCCTCTCTGCACATTTAAAAGGAAAACTCTCAGTCTGCCGTTGGCAAAGGGCAGATGTTTAAAAACAAGCGGGATAAACCTGAGCCTTTGTGTGGTTTGTTTGTTCAGATCGCACTCAGGTGCAGACCAAAACAACCACAAAAAGACACTTTAGTGGTGTCAGTAGTTCCAAATGAACTCCAGATCAGCTCGTTTATGTTGTGAACATGATCCAAGCTCGAGTCGAACCAACGACCAGGTGTACATTGCAAGTTTGAGCTAAAAAAACTTCCCATAGCCATGCATGCTTTAAATTCTTGAGTGTGACAAGGTACTATTGACAAGAAAAGGTCTGCTTTACATCATAAATATTAGATACAGTATCCAAACGTTCACCCAGAGGGATGTACCTGTGTCGTGTGGCATTGCTGTTGTTCTTTGAACCAAAGGAGATGTGATACGGGACCCGGTGTGTATCAGGAGAAATTCCAATTCTCTGGCAACCTGCCCACTCTGAAAACAAGATAGTATCATAAAAGGTCACATGACTGAGAGTAAAATGATCAGCAAGAAAAACCCGTACCTTTTCAGTAGCCTGTCGAAATATCAACAAAAATTGTTGGTAAACACAAACTCTGAGATGCACTACTGGTTTGTTACTAACGAGCCGGACAGGTAAACAACAGCTGATGCTCACCTGTAATATCATACACCTTGCCATCCATACAGGCAAAGTATGTGATGCGTAGGCCCAGCATGCTCGATTCAGCCCACAGGTCCCCTTCCTCGGCGCTATGGCAACGATTGCATTCAGCACAGAACCGGGCCTCAGCGGGTTCACGATCCATCTCGAAGCGCCTTCATACACACACAGGAAACAAATAAAACACACCTGTGCTGAAAGCCTACAACACAAGATTACAAGATTAGCTACAGTTTTATAGCTGTATGATGTGATGGCGATGCTGGATGTGTAACACCATACTTGTGTTTGCCTTCACACTTGGTACACATCATAGTATTCATGGCTTCCTTCAGGTCATCCTGCAGTTTAGTGAGAAACTCGTTCATGGACTTTGAGAGCTCAGTCGCTGCCATGCGCTTCCTGCATGAGAACGAGTAAGAAGTTGTTGATCGGAGATAATGAGTGAAATGTACAGTTATTTATCAAACTGTACTTGAGTGGGTTTTGTTGTTTTACCAATAAGAACTTACAGAAATAACTTAAGAAAAATCATTGCATTAAAATAATTGACAAGATGATTTAAAATACAATAAATAATTGTGATTAAAATATTTCTTTCTTTTGTAACTTTGTTGATTTTTTTTCCCCGTGCACTTACAACTCGTACTCTCGTCGTGTCTCCGGA